AATGAAATTGCAACCATTAGAAAGAGAATGAAATGCTGCATCGAATGCTCCTAAGATCTCTTGAAAATCTCGATTCCATGAAATGTGGCGTTCATTTGAAAAAAGCGACATTATTTTCGGAACGACCTAATGTTTGGATTATCCCGTAACAAACCAAATTTTATACATTTTTTTCTCCGACGCTCCCACACTCATGGCTCTTAAAAATCTCATCCATGGTTTCTAACACACAATGCGAACAATCGCAAACTAACCAAAAGCTTTTGATTATTCGAGATTCGCTTTAGAAGATCAAACATATGTATACTCGCCAAGTAAATTCCGATGAAAGAGTGATATTTGCTCGCTTGACGAAGTTCCTACATGACTATAGGACTGTTGCGGAAAATTAAGGTTCCGCGCGGATATTTGCAATAACTACGCACCTCTTATGTAAAAGGCGCATATTTTGCGCTCTGCGCAGACCTCCCGTTTCGGTGACATATAGTCCTCTACCCGTCACCATGGGTTAGGTCCGCCAAGTAATAAAAGTTGTTCAGTGTTTAAAAGTGCCCGTAGGTCGTAAGCAAATGCCCATATGTTGTCATGCCTGATATGTCAGAGATTGGTATTTGATACGCTCCGAGCATAGGCTTAAAAATGGCGCCCAAAGCTTCCGCCTTCAAATTCGAAACAATAAGTGCTATTGAAATGAGGACGTTTGATGTGTCATAATAGTACCTGTTCCGAAGGTTTCTGATGAAGTTTGTGAGGAGTGGTATACAAAGGTGGTGACGGAGGAGTGCTGACCGAGGAGTGTATGTAATAAATGCAGAATGACCAAGAGTTGATAAGAAAGATATCGACCTTCAATACCCGTACTTCAGTAAACGTCATGCTAGGAAAAGAGGTTTTTGGCCTCAAACTTGAGTAGTTAAACCTTTTTTTTCACCACGAAATTACGATATGATTAATCAAATTTAACCAAATGTCAACCTACACCGAAAAATAATAGTACAAAAGTAGTAAATGGAAGCCGAAAATGAAGACCAGGGGAATTCATAATTTGTAACCTGCGAATTAGAATGCGAGAAGAAGTTCTTGCAAATAACGGAACGTATGACAGTTGCGAAATAATGATTTTTTCGTTCTCCTTTTTACAAAGAAAGGCTATAGAGGCAAATCACTGAGATCCCTCCGGACACTGATAATATATCTGCTTTCCAAATTTGGCAAACGTTTCTGTACAAAAGTTACGAACCCCTGGCTGCAGATTTGCCCTGTCTGCATTCCGATCAAACACCGATAATGATGCATCATTGACAGATACGTTAATAGTGCAGCTGGAACATTCGGCTCAAGCATAGGGTACCGGTTCGAATGTGTGGGTACCCACCGCTTTTGCATTTTTGCAAACTCGTACTTCATTTGAAATCATCTAAATAACGATGTCAGTAGTTTTCGTAACGAATGCGTAATTGCCGCAGTGATGTTGCATAATCGCTCATATCTCTGTACGCAGTCTAAAATCTGCAGAGACAGGGACCCGTCACTCCTCTCATAGACCCGTTTCGCAAATCTGGAAAGCGGATATGTTACTAATTCCAGAATGGACCATATAGATGACATCTTCTTGCTAAACTTCAGAGGCTTGATATCTTTACTCGTTAACAAAAATGAAAAAGACTCGATTTCAGATCTTCATTGGTTTGGCGATAACATAAGACATTACGGAAATCATGAGTTTCTCGCACAGCTGAGCTTAATTCACTCACCGCAGCCGTATCGCCTTGAGGTAAAATTGCAAGTATAGGAATAATATAAATTGCAAACTCACAATTAGCAACAGGTTGACGACACAATAATAGCTGAAAAAGACATTAATTGAATGTCGTTTGTGAAAAGATAGCTCAGTAGTCACCTCCATTCAACGCAATGGTCACCCGTGTTTTTTGAATTTCTCGCTCAACATGGCTTACTCGCCGTGCGGCTCCAAATTGAACAGAGAAGAGGACGAAAATGAAGTTTGATTTCTCGGGCGTCTTTTTGTTGACCAGAATGTAGTAGAACGCAGAGTTCCGTCAAAAGCTAAAGATGCAAATTCGCTGTATATCTTGTCTAGTAATCTACATAGAAATGGGGAAAGCCACTCGTAAGCAAAGAGCCATCTCGAGATGAATTCCTCACTTCAATGTTTGTGCCTCGGGCTCGCGATTAATTGCTCAAAATATAGGTTCAACATTCGATGCTGCTGCGATTTTTCCTCCAGCTTTCTTGAAAATTGTCTCTAAAAATCTTTTCCCGGCGTAATAACATTGTTTTCAGCTACAGTAAAACAAATACCTGTTATCAATTCGACTTCAATAAAAAGGGTAAGTTTTTCGACGATGTTCGGAGACAATTCCACCTATGCCGACAAATTAATGTGATTATGATACGCACATCTAAAAATAATGGTGCGACAGATTTGCTCAAATAAGCTATGAAAACTTTTTACGATATTTTAACGCTACCAACTGTAAGGTGGCGGATTCTGAAACGAGACTGTAGTTTTTGGTTCTCTACATGCATTATGATATGAGACCGTAGCTTTTGGTCCTACATGCATTATGCAATGCCATGAATGCATTACAATGACTCTTTTCCCAGCGTAAAAACATTGTTTTCAGCTTCAGTAAAACAAATGCCTGTTATCAATTCGACTTCAATCAAAAGGGTAAGTTTTTCGACGATGTTCGAAGACAATTCCACCTATGCCGACAAATTAATGTGATTATGATACGCACATCCAATATTGCTTCCAGTCCACAATGTACTGTGTCTCTACCAGCAGACAACGTTAACAAGATGCCTACAATTCATACTATGAGATAAGTTTAGGCTATGCTTCAGTGGCCCGGTGAGGACACTTTTGCGGGCCCGTCTACTTGTGCAGCAGTAAAGTTTGGCTGGTTCAATGTTTTATGAGTGCATGTAAGCGCAAAAAGAGTGTGTGTGCCGTTCTTTTGCGTGAAGTACCGAGACAGCACAAATATCACATCAATATCGCAAATTTCAAAAGTTTATTCAAATTTTCGTGAATCAAACTGATGAGCACGTCCAGGAAAGGCCCAAGTTGTCGGCCTCCGTTGTTTGCTTTTGCGCACCTCTGGTAATGAGGAACAAAGAGTGTGCAAGTCTTCTATCCTCTGCTCCGTCGCAGCAATGCTCTCGCACAGATGAAACCTAAAAGATGAGATGTGCGAAATTTTTAAACAAGTAGAGGAATGAGTCCGTTGCTGAAGTGTTGAATTTAACTCTTGGCAAAGTTGAGGTAGACTAGCGTTTACGAATCTACTCAATGAACTTCTTTCTTACTGGGCCACATAAGCCCCAACTGATAGGGTCTCCTCTACTCAGACAGTCGAAGGGATACCTCCGGCGGGCCAAAGGCGCGAGTCTGCCACTTTGCGCTCTGAAGCGCTCCGGAGCGCAAAGTGGCAAAATCGCGCCTTTGGCCCGCCGGAGGTATCTATTCGACTGTCTGAGTACGCTAAGAAATCCGCAGCAAAGTGCCCCTGAAGCGCATTTCGGCTCGTAAGCAAAGCCTCCTTCTCTCTCAAAGCTTGATCTTGAGGCCAAGATAAGGCACGTGGATACAGCTTGTTCGGTTGCGTCTACGATCGGGAATTCTTTTTGCCGAGTTAAACCCACCTACGGCTCTACGACTTCCGATTTTCACACTGAATCTAACTTTTGCTGAGCCACTGCTATTGAAAACAGTCCTAAAAAAGCTTTTGAGGCCATATACACAATTTGTTTCAAAATTTTCTAAAACTGATCGAATACCTTTTAACCCACTCCTCGATATGACACCAAAGCTATTAACGATGGGGAGTAATAGCGAACGTAACGAACTGAAACTTATACGATGCAAGGTGTGACAGCCTTTTTGTGTACAGGTTGCCCTGGTGAACCGCCTGAGGTATGGTTCATTCTTAAATCATGACGACGAGTTGACGGCGGTACAACCAGGCATCACCTCAACGTTCAGCTCAGTCACTTTCAGTGTCGAAATACTAACATGACTTATAATAAAGCGCTAAGCGTCTGTCTGTGTCTGTGTGTGTATATCTGTCTGTCACGAAATTCACAGAGTGATTTGCAGCTAGCATCTTAATCTAGAGTTTTGGTCATAGCGCCCTGTCAGCGTGTAGGTAAACTGTACAAAATCACAAGCCGATCCAGTAAGTGGAACCATCGAAAACTGAGCGTCAAACGGATCCACGCGACTGTTGGCCCTCCAAAATGGATAGGTAATTGGACTTTCTGCAAAGTCGTAGATTTGTTCAGCAAGTAAATCCGAAAACATTGACTTTAGCTCAAAAAATAAGCAAAAAGTTTATTTTTACACAAAATTGGCGCCAAAAAGATGTAACTGAGCAAATTGTCGATTTTCCAAGTTTTTACCATAAAAATTGATAGTATTTTTGGGTAGACATGTAGCTCAAGGTGGTCTTTATCCTTATGGCGACTATAAAGCCAAAATGAATTCAGTAACCCATTCAAAATCGCATTTGTTTTTATGCGGGAAAATTTTTTCTTTCAAAATTACCGATCTTACATGAAAAAGCTCTAAAAATGAATGGTTCTTTACAATTCATTCGTGTTGTTCAGCATGGCGCGGTGAGTTTCAAAGTCATTATTATGTTATCACGAAGAAGGTACGGATAGTAGAGCCAGTGCGAACCTCTGCGAAGCAGAGGTGACGCACTGGTCACACATAAGCAGAAGAACCACACTAGAGATAGAAATGAAAGTGCGTGCGTGTCGCGTGCGGGCGCGTCATCGTCACGATTTTTCAAATGCCCTATAGCTCAAAAAGAATAAGGTCATAATGTTTCTCTCCTTACGAACTTTTTGCCCTTCTTACATAACTTTTATCCGCATCTCGTTTTCATATGCTAGTTCTTGAATTGTCGCGAATGTCGCGAATCTTCTCTCTGTTTGACAATCCTGCTCCAGTGGTGAGGTAGTGCGCGTCAATGACAAAACGCCATCGAAACCGACGGCCTTCCTGCTGGCATTCCTGATACTCCTCCTGTTGGCATTACTCCTGGTGACATTCCCCCAAACGGCCTTCCTGCTGGCATTCCTCCAGATGACATTTCTTGTGGTTGCACTCCTGCAGGCATTCTTGAAAATCCTGCTGGAGGCATTCTTAAGGTTCCTCCTATTGGCACTCCTGGCATTCCCCTTGGTGGCATTCCTAGTGCCTTTAAACGGCATATACGGCGTACCCGCAGGAGGTGGTGGCATTCCTCCAGGCGGCGTTCCTGCTGATATTCCTGACATTCCCCGTGATTGCATTTCCTTGTTGTGACATTCCTGATAATCCTGCTGGCGTTCCTCCAAATGGCATTCCTTGAGATGGCGTTCCTGCAGGCATTCTGAAAATCCCGTTGGAGTTCTCGGAGTTCCTCCTGCTGGCACTCTTAGCATTCCTCCTGATGGCATTGCTAGTGGTCTATTGAATGGCATATCTATACATAAAACTCAAACATGTATGTTAGGATGTCTGTCGCTTATAGACTCCTTTATATGCGAGCCGAAAAGGCTGAAATTCTCACCCTATAAACAAGCCATGGCGCAAAAGATAGGCTACTTTTCGCGATAACTCGCTGGGTCCTTCTATCGATTTATTGATTTACTTACCTAGATCCCAGAAAATGAAAGCTCTTCAGTTACTATCAAATCATTTCCACAAGTAAAGCAGAAGAGAGCAAACCAGGAGCGAAACAGGAAGGAAGATGGAGAGGGGTAATGAGAATCATAATGAAGAGAGAGAGGGACAAACTGTAAGTTTCAAAACGTTTTGATCACTATGCCAGGCCAGTTTACCAATGCCCGGGCTGGACCGGGGACGTCGGCTAGAGCATTCCTCCCATGAATGGCATACCAGGCATTCCTCCCATGAATGGCATACCATGCATTCCTCCCATTGGCATACCAGGCATTCCTCCCATTGGCATACCAGACATTCCTCCCATTGACATACCAGGCATTCCTCCCATGAATGGCATACCAGGCATTCCACCTCCGGGTAAACCTCCCATTTGGGAAGGAGCATGCATCATCTCTAAATTGAAAAATATGCAAGTAGCAATTCCAAACCATTTGAAATTAGAAGACTAACTTTGACTCGGAAGAAAGCCGGAAGAAGGTGGCATCATTGGCAACTGTGAGACTGTCATGCAGATGCAGTAGACTAGCAGTGCAAGTACGAGCATATTTTTTCAGCTGAAATAGCTGAAATATTTCAACAAAGATTTGAGAGCACATTCACGAGTTGTTGGAAATTATCTTTAGTACAGGAAGCTTTATAAAGTGTACAACTAGTCCTAGATGCTTCGAACTGGTAAAAGAAAAAGTGAGAAGTTCTTATGTTTTAGGGCCGGGACAGTGTTACTTGTCCTTCCAACAATTCTAAGCGAAAATTGGTCCAATGTTGGTGCCGAGAGCATACCTTCGATACATAGAGCCACGTACTCTGGTAACCTTCACTTTGAGTGTCATGAGAGGACACAACCTTCACCTGGAGAGGAGTACAAGTCATCCGGGGCGAAGCCCCAGATATTATGACATAACTAATGACTAACTATGTAAGGATGAATGTGAATGAGGCATATAGTAGTGACATCCAAAGAAAAGCTCAAAAAACCGAAAGATTGCGTTTTCATGGCCTTTTTTGCTGAAAAGAGGGTTTTTCTTCAAAAATTCAGTTAGAAATTAGGATAAAACTTATCAGTTAACCTTTCTATAGACTGCGATTGAGCGTTGGAGGTTCATGAAAGCCGCTGGAGTTCAACAAAAACGAGAAACTGCGCTGAAATCTTGCGCAGAGAGTCGCCACATAAATGCTGGTCTATCTCGTTATGGAGTGAGATTCAAGACCCGCGACGTTATCAGTGCTCCTGGCCGTGTCATGAGGATCACAACGATATATAATATTATAGGGTTTCGTTATGACCCCGCGGAGATCAATGACCAGAGCCAAATGCCCCGCCGGCTCTGGTCTCTCTCCGCTGCTCGTCTGCGTCTCCGCGCGCTGCGCGCTACCTCGCTACCCCAAGCGCGGGGCGCGGGGCATTTGGCTCTGGTACCCTTTTCTTCGCTGTTTCGAACCCAATTTTAGCAAGCTATATATCATTTTGAAGCTCTTGATCTCTATTTTCACGCTGACAACGTCGCAGGACTCCTTTTTATGATTTAAACAAGAAATCCGGCAAAAACCTTGTTTTTGAAAATCTCTCGTTTTTCTCCTAGTTTGACTCTTTTCACGCAGTTTTTTTGTGTAGTCGATAGGTCTTGTTTCTGTCTATAATGTAGACAACGTCGCCGAGCTTATTTCTTTGCTTATGCCGCTTTTTTTGTAGAAATTACTAAAAAATGCGTTTTTCTTTACCTTATTCTTTTTCAGTAGTTTCGCAACGAATTTTCTCCAGCTTGGACGATACTTGCTCAGAATGATGAGCGGAAGAATCCAGACAACGTCGCAGGGTACAAGAGGGATGGCGCGGGGGTAAAAATTTAAAGGACGCATCAAAAATCAAAACCCCGTGCGAATTGCTGGTCGTGGAGCGAAAACTTACACTCTGTAAAGCCGCCAAATGAAAGATTTCAAATCTTATTGCAGCGTTTTTATCCGGTTTACAGCCATTTCTTTTGCTTTTTATGTCTGTTTTACGTCATATTCTCTTCTCTGATCTTCTTTGAACAACCTTCACCATTTGTGACGTCGGATGTTCAAACAACCTTCACTTTTGGCGCCCTGTCTCTAGACTATCGAAGGTATGGCCGAGAGGATTTGTCAACCATTTATATCAGACTTGTAAGTATATTCGCCAGCGTTCAGGAAAGTGGGTTTCGTGAGAAGAGCAGACGGACGAACAGAGTTTCATAAATACTGTCGTTATTCTCTTCCTCTCTTATTTCCTTGCTTTTCAAGATACACGGTTTTATTCAAAGAAGTTACATTGCCGTTATCTTCCAAACATATGCTAGCACTTGTAGGAGGTCAAAAATTCAAGGTTGCTTCAAAGGCTTATGGAGTAAAATTACTTGAGAACAACTAAGCATTCTTTGAAGAATAAAAAAATTCCGCTTTCTAATCTTGTAGGAATGTCTAATGTTGGTGATGTAAGTGTAAACGAGTAAAAAATCCGTAGCTTCTAGTGCTTAAGACGAAGAGAGTTTGGGGATTTTCTGATTTAGATTCTTTGTTCAGACTTTGCAAAAATCGGACTCGTTACAACATTACAACAATACTACAGGACAGAGTAGCAATGACAGTGACAAACTAAGCTCTCATGGATGGAACTGGCAGAAAAAAATGATCACACAGCTGCAAACAGTTTCTTAACGGTGAGAAGAGCGCCATCATAACAGATTTATTGTCTCATCCTATACGTGTACAAAACCATAAAGTATCCCATAATATTTGCGATAAAGCAAACTGTACCAGAATTTCTCTTTCCAGTCGTAATCGTAAATATTAGGGGGATCGGTAAAAAATGGGGCAGCTTGATTTTTATTAAATTTTGAGGTTTTTTATTTCGACCAACAACAAGCAGGCTGCAACGCAAACGTCGCTCATATGAGCGACCTTTGCCTATTATTCTGGCAAAGCGTCAACGCTCCTCTCCCACAACCCTAGCGTGGCGCCCTGAAGAACTCAAACAGGGTTTTTTAAACATCGCTCATTCTTGCGCTGCCATACCGTAAAGTTATAGAGCACTTGATACACCATTCGAAAGAGCTCTTCATGCTCTTTCGAATAATGTATTAAACATACAGGATTTCTTTCTATTTCTAAGTAAAAAAGCGAAATACCTGAAAAATCGGAATTTTTTGGCGCAACAAAAACCAATAAATCAGTTTTCAATTTGTATTTTCCAAAGATAGATAAAGTGTGAGGTAAGCTGCATAGATAGAGCGTAAAAAGCTCTTTCAGATGGTGCCTATAAAACATGCGTTCACCTGCAAAGCATTAAATGGCACGTATCTTTGTTCTCAAAGCTGCTAATGGCCATATCTCCTGAATTTGAAAGTTTAGATCAGCAACCCATCGTGTTCTGGTGACTGTACCTTCCATTGCAGCAGTAGTAGTTTGGATGGTCTCACATGTTCTGCGCAGATACTGCCCGAAGTTTATGTCAAAGTGACTAACTTTGCATTTCAGACACTATAAAAATTATTAGGTATGTAAGTGACCTTATATAGGTATTTCGGAAAGAGAATAATTTATTCTAACATATATCAATAAATTGGGAAACTCAATCATTTTTCTTTTTTTGAGAAATCTACATTTATTCTCTAGGTGCCCCATTTTTTACCGATCACCCTAATATATCAATAGGAATTCTCGTAGAGATTCCAAGTACAACTGTTGAATTATCGTGAGTGAATCATAATATTTGGATTTTTACGTTACAAACTAAACTTTATACATTTTTTCTGACTGCTCCTACACTCATGGCTTCTAAAAATCTCATCCATAATTTCTAGTACACAATGCAAACAATCGAAAATTAACCAAACCAATTTTTGATTATTTGAGATTCGCTTTGGAAGATACAAGCAATGTATACTCCCCATCAAGTAAATTCCGATGGAAGAGTGATATTTGCTCGCTTGACGAAGTTTCATCCTCCACGACGAATATAGCACTGTTGCGGAAAATTAAGGTTCTGCGCGGACATTTGCAATAAATACGCACCTCTTGTGTAAAGGCGCGTATTTTGCGCTCCGCGCAGGACCTTCTAATTCGGTGACATATCGCCCTCTACCAGTCATCATGGGTTAGGTCCTCCAAGTAACAAAAGCTGTTCAGTGTTCAAAAGTGCCTGTAGGTCGTAAGCAAATGCCCATATGCTATCATGCATGTTATGTCAGCGATTGGTATTTGATACGCTCCGAGCATAGGTTCAGAAATGACGCCCAAAGCTTCCGCCTTCAAATTTGAAACAAAATAAGTGGTATTGAAATGAGGACGTTTGATATGTCATAGTACTATCTGTTCCGAAGCCCTTTGTGGTGAGGCCTGTAGGGAATGGTATACAAGAGTGTCGTGACCGAGGAGTGTATGGATACATATAAGATGACCTACAGTTGATAAGAAAGATATCGACCTTCAGTACCCGTACTTCAGTATACGAAAGAATCATGCCAGGGAGGTTTTCGTGCCTCAAACTTGAGTAATCAGATCTTTATGTTTCACCACAATTCTAGATACAGAAAATACAACATGATTAAATTCAGTAAATGTCAACTTATACCAAGCATAAAGACCAGGGAAATTCATGATGTGTGCCTGCGAATTAGAATGCGAAAAGGTTCCTTCGTTCTGCTCCTTACAGGGAAAGGATAAAGAGTCGCACTGGTGTTTAGCAAGGGGATTCACATTAAGGTCATTGAGGTCGCCTCGGGACGCTAATAGTTTACCTGCTTTCCAAATTTGCGAGTTCTGTGACGAAAGAAGTTACGGAACCCTTGGATGTGCAGCTATTGCCTTGCTCACATTCGTAAACAGTGACGATGGATGTCTAAAACCTGTAGAAACAGAGACCAGTGACTTCTCTCAAAGACGCAGATCTGAAAAGCGGATATGTTATCAATGTCCGGAATGGACCATAAAGATGGACATCTTTTTGCTGAACCCGAGCAGCTTGGTACCTTTATCCGTTAGCAAGAATAAAAGAGGCTCAATTTCCGATCTCCATTGGTCTACGATAACACAAGACACTACCAAACCCATAGGTTTTCTGGCACAGCTGGGCCCAGCCTCCGCTCATGAGCAAACTGAGCCATCTTGAGATAATGTCCTCACTTCAATGTTTGTGCCTCGTGCTAACGCTTAAAAAGCTCAAAGTAGAGGTTTAACATTCTATAGCGTTGAGGCTTCCCTTCAGCTTTCCCGAACATTGTCTGTAGAAATAATGATGTGGCAGATTTGCTGAATAAGCTATGAAAACTTTTTACGATATTTCAACGCTATCAACTATGGGTGGTAAATTTTGATACGGAGACTGTAGTTTTTGGTTCTCTACATGCATTATGCAATGCAATGAATGCCTTACAATGACGCTTTTCCCAGCGTAAAAACATCGTTTTTCGCTGTAAATCCAATACATCTTCAATAAAAAAAGTTTTTCGACACTGTTCGGAGACAGTTCCACTTATGCTGACTGAATAATGTGATTATGCTGCACATCCCCGATATTGCTCCACTCTACAATGTACTGTTTCTTACCAGCAAGCAATGCTAGACGCAAGGTACCTTATTTCAAAAGATATGGTAAATTTACACTATGTTCCAGTGGCCTGATGAGGACACTTTTGCGTGCCCGGCTACTGTAGCAGTAAAGTTAGGCTGGCTTTGATGTTTTATGTAAGCGCAAAAAAACGTGTGTCTGCCGTTCTTTTGCTTGAAGTACCGAGACAGCATATATATCGCATCAACATCACAAATTTCAAAAGTTTAGTCAAATTTCCATGGATCAACCAAGTTGTTGATATCCGTTGTTTGCTTTTGCGCACCTCTGGTAATGAGGAACAAAGAGCGTCCAAATCTTCTGTCTCTGCTCTGTCGCAGCAATGTTCTTGCACGGAAGGAACTCAAAAAGTTGAGATATGCGAAATTTTCAAACAAGTAGAGCGGAAGGACTCCTTTGCTAAAGCTGTTGAAGCTATGGCTCGGCAAAATTGAGGTAGGCTGGAGTTTTGTGAATCTACTCAAGAAACCTCTTCTTCACAGGGCTACTCAAGCCCCAACTGACACGGTCTCCTTTACGTTGAGAATCTACAGCAAAGTGGCCTCTGAAGTGCATTTCGACTCGTAAGCAAAGCCTTCTCCTCTCTCACAGCTTGACATTAAGGCCAAGATAAGGCAGAGGGGCTCAGCTCGTTCGGTTGCTTCTAGTTGGGAGTTCTTTTTGCCAAATTGAACCCGTCTAGGGTTATGCAGCTTTCGATTTTCACATGGAATCTAACTTTTGCTGAGCCACTGCCATTGAAAACAGTCCTAAAAAAGCTTTTGAGGATGAGAAGAGACAAACATACTTATCCTTTGAATTCTCTCAGCCATATACACAATGCTTTTGTCTCAGAACTTCCTAAAACTGATTAAATACCTCTTAACCCACTCGTCGATATTACACCAAAGCCTAAAAACGATGGAGAGTAGCAGGAATAACGAGTTGAATTATTATATAAATCAAAGGTGTGGCATCTTTTTGTCTACAGGTTACGCTGGTGATCCGCCTGAGGGGGAGGAGGACTATGGCCTGTAGTAAAGCTCGATCAGTTCAGGTGAACTGAACTTATCCAATCAGTTCACCTCACGTCAGATGAACTGATGGCCGCCCACCCTCCCATGCTATAAGAATGGCGAGTGAACTGATAGTTGACCATCTGTCCACCTGCTGCAGTCAACTCTTCCACATCAGCTCACGTTCAAGTGACCTGAACGTGAACTGATGTTAGAGTGCTGCAAATAGTGTGTAGAAGAGGAGACGCAGACAAGACTCCCGTAAGTTGCTCCTGAGTAACTTACGATACACATCAGTTAGGCTAAAAATGCAGACAAAATCGGCGCAAAACTGCACAACCGCGCCCGAAAAGGAGAGATGAACAGCTGATTTTGGCGAGGATAACAAAGAAACAAATTTTTCTCTTTTTTATAAACCTTACTGGTTTTTTTCACTAGCTGTCCAAAACAAGAACCCTTTTATTCATTTCATTGAATTCACGCTGCAACGATTTCGTTTTCATAAAATTTTCGTCACAAATTGTGCTTTTGTTTTATCCGTGCATTTGCTAGGCGAAATCCTTGATAGCGGTCATCATCGATTGCGTAGTGGCCGCTATCAAAGATTGCCCAGCGATGCATCAAAAGGTGTGTCGCTAGTCGAAGTCGAACCACGGCCGCGCGCGTGTAGTTCCAATCGCTTACCCGTTTGACCTAACCAGCTCAAGTGATTCTTTTTTCAAGAACGCACTCGATTGTAATGCCTCGGAAGCGATCCGCATCCAGATCAATGGCTCGCCGGATGCTAGACTGAGGCGTGATGAGATCAACGCCGGCCCGCGTTGAGAGAGATGCCCTGATGGGGGTTTACTACAGGCCTATAAGTCGTCGAAAGTGGGCGGTTCACGCGGACATCTTCACATGTTGCAGACATAACGGATTTGTACCGGCTGTCCGCGCAGGGTGGAGCCTATCGGCGACATAAAGTCTTCTACCCGCCTGAGGTAGCTCAAAAAAATAAAGTCGTAATGTATCCTTCATTCAAAGCTTTTATCCCTTCTCACATAACTTTCATCTACATCCTTGTTTTTATAGTTAGTTCTCAACTTGTCGCATATCTTCTCTCCGTTTGATTACAGCACTACAAAACTGAATGGTAGCGCAATCCTGCTCCAGCGGCGAAGTAGTGCTTGCCATTAACAAAAAAGCCATCAAAACTGACAATGAGAACATAATTTCTTCTAATACGGTAAAGAAACGAATCTCATTTAAATGTCGGCTCGTGCTGACCACTGGTATATCCATATGCCAGTGCAGTGTTAGGATTAGCAGTCCGTGGAGGTGGCGCTCGATGGAAGTATTCGTTTCTCTACTCTTGATCCGTGTTTGACTATTTTGTGGGTCCTTCTTTTTCTGTTCCCCCCCCCTCCCCCATAACCTCGTGCGTCGATTTTTTTGCAAAGTTAGCGGGGATTTTCTTCCAAAAACTGGCGCCACTTCTGCCAAGTCCTGACTAAGATGGATATTGGAAGATTTGCTGTGATGAGCTCAGGTAGAGTGGATTTAATTATCTACTTCGAAAAGCAGGCAACGAGATCTCATCACGCTGAATGATTCACTTAGCCACGAATTGAACTGCACACCTGCCTTTTCGGAAAAACGATTAGGTGGTACACCATATTGAATCGGAGTGGAAGAGGGCGAAGAGGAGTAGTGGAGCCTAGCGTCTAACTGGTGAGACATTTCAGTGGTTGATTACATAACTAGCTCCACCAGCAATTCTTTCCCCGTCACACCCATGCTGCCCTTCCGTACTTCGTTGAACAAACGGTTGACATTTTTACGAGTTGTAAAGCAGAGTTTGGATTTAGCGCACTCAAATGAAAGGGAAGGTTAAGGTAGGGCGTTTTTATGAGCGCGGACAAGGGTCAATTCGTGAACATGTGGTTTCGGTTCACACTATTGCGCTCGGATCTTGTAGTCAGGACTTTTGTTGAACGCAAACTAAACAAAATAATAAGCTTGGCTTAACCATCATGGTAGCAACTGACATAGCATCCTTGCAGACATTCCTTTTATCCATAGTCTGAGAACAGGTTTGAAGCCCCACCTGCTCCTGTGTTAGTTAAATGAACCAATGTCGTTTTTACCTGTGCTCTTTAAAATAAAAACCAAAAGTCTTTACTTTCCAACAAAAGGTTGAAAGGTGAAAAGGCAGTAAAGCCAGTAATATTTCCACCACCATTCGCTATAAACTTCGCAGAAAAAACGTTTTTTCGTCTTGAATATCTGAAAAGATCTTTGTAATCGACCTTAAGGAGGAACACAATAACTGACTGCCTCACATCATTTGTGAGTGATTCTGGTTTCTATGATACGGTTTAGCTTTTTGTTGACACTTAAAATTACAACCATGTTGTAGGAAATGTATCGCTATCTGCTTCGTTATGCATACAAGAAGATATTTCAAACCCAGTACATAACACAGTTTTCTTTTGATTCAGTTGTTTGATAATATAGATTGTAGACCGCGTACACGAAGCGGATGCGGATGAACGTGCGATGGCAATGACAACCCGTGCCAGCACACCGCCAACTCTATACGCATCTTATTCATACCATTTACAAATAGTCTTACGTTGCAAGTTTCCTCATCGCCGTCGTGAGTGTGCGAAATGTGGACATTACGAGCAAACTTTTCTCCTGTTTGGAGCATGTCTCCTCGCTCCTTGGGATATCTAGAACCTGGTTAGTTTTCGAAAAAATTAAGAGAAACGCGTGCAGCTTCTGCAACTTACTTGGGCAGAGCATGTTGAACACGCGATGAGTGAATAACTTTAATTTTACTCCATACATATATGCTCGAAACGGGATACTGGTTTTCATCATATATCTGAAAGAAACAACTCCTTTCTAAGATATGGTAGAGAAAGCGAACATTCCACAAAGGTTAAAGTATTGCCGCGAATTGCTAATAGCTGCAAATCTTTCTGCATCAATCCCAGTCAAATCCTCAAATCAACAAAGGTTCCGTGTAATTGTTGATTATTGTACCGAACAATCAAGCTTGCAAAATTGCTTCGAAACAGATATAGAACTAACCATTTGAACATGGCCAGATTCGCAAAACTTTCTAAATCCCTGCTCAAGATTTTGCCAGTTCCACTTAGGTTTTCCCCTTGGGTTAGATGTAAATAGATCAAAGTAGCCCTCGGAATAGACTGGCAATATCTAAAACGGCTATCATTACTACCAAATAAAATTCGGATAACATAACTTACAATGAGTAAACCATACAGGAACATTTTACTGGTTAGATTACTGCTCATACACCCAAGGCCGCTGTGAAACTTTATCAAAAACTCATTGGTCGTTTGACTTGTGAGGTGCTATTGTGGAGTACATCAGGTGTAGGCGTCATTTGCGAATACATCTTTATACACCACTGCGACGTAGATAAATATTGAATTGCTGGAAGCGAATCTATAGTATTACGTGATGATAACGTAACAGTTACTTTTTACCGCAAATTTACTCAGGCTTGGCCACTTTTTGTACGTTCGCTCAAAAAGGATAGAAGAGTTATGAAATGTGAACCAAATCTGGCAGAAATAACGTATGGGATGGGGTGTGTGTGTTGATAAGCTATTTTGTTCGGAACCACTGTATGACTCTATCAATTCAGATTTTTCTCAGTTTTTGCTTAAAAATTTTGTAAATTTGCCCAAAATGGACAGAAGAACTCATGTAATTTGAAACAAATTTGGCAGACTAATGTATGGAATGGGACGTGTATTGATAAGCCTTTCTGCTCGAGACACACGGGTTGCCCCAACTAGTTTATTGATTCTTTCGATTTTTGCTCAGTAAATTTTTCCGCCTGAATAATAGAAGTTTTAACTCAGACTATGGACGCCTATGTTCTGAACACCGGAAAATAGCATAGGGCTACCTTTTGCAGCAATTTGCTGTGCGTTTCTATTGCTTTATTGATGTTCGGCCTTAAAGGAAAATGTCTTATCAGCAATTTTACCAACTTCACCAGATAGCCAGACAAGAGTTGTATAGCTCATTTCATCACACATTTGAATGATGCGTGGCGTATTTTATAAGTTATTATGTTTAATTACCGATAATCTATCCATTTTTGATTTTTTTGCAGTTGTTGCTTACAAATTTTTGCCGACCCATGTTTGAAGAAATTATGGGGTCTGAACCAAACTTCGCATACATGAGCTTCGGAGCGGACGGGTGTCACTAAGCTTTTTATCAAAAATAACCCACTGTCGTTTTTAACTCTGACTTCCAACGTTTTTCGCTTAGCAATTCTGTTATGAATGGCCCAGAATGCTAGGAAAAAATTATGAGATCTGAACCACCTTCCGCATACATAAACCTCTAAACGGATCTTTTGTTAATAAGCTATTTCCATTGATATAGGCAAATGTATTCTTACTTTACCTGAAAATTGGAGGAAGGAGAGAATGGTAAGTATGGTTATTACCATACAATGGCTATTACTTCAATTATAGACTTTCTCTAGCTGTTCGTTGATTTTTTGCATCTAACAATGTCGCTCACCCACAAGATCAGACATGATCACCTTATCAATCCAATGACAGCCAACACCCTTATATCCCCCCCCCCCCCTACCCTTTATTCATACCATGACGCCGTTCTCATGTCTGTACCTCCTTTAAATGCTTCCACTTCCAACACCATGATAACGTCATTCAACCCTTACAGCATGGGACACATCCAGCCCTTCTATGTAGTTGGCTGCACATTGTCTATTGCTTAGAATATTAAAATCCACCTGAGGTCAAAATTGTACCCTCAAGCTACATAGACTGAACCGGTGTTTCGTGAACTAACAGATTCACTAGCAAATTCTCGCAACTGCACAATACAGAGCGGAACGAAAGATATACGGGGCAGTGAAGGGGCCTAGTACCAGCCGAACCTGCCTTGTAGCGGCAGAGAGCGGTTGGTCATAAAATATTTTCCTAGCAGAAATCCTTTTCATGACTGAGACTTTGATATGTTTCCAAAATACTTTCAAACCTTTACAGTTCTGCTATCTTCACCGAGTTTAAGGTAAGTCTGCGCCAGCATAGCGCTTCTCCACAGCTCCAGCGCCAGCACAATGCTACTAGAGATCTCGATGGGGAGGCACAACTTGCTCTTTTTCGTGAAAAGATAGATTTTGGTGTCTGCTAACGATGATGGGCCAAAGATTAATTCAAATTTGTCTGCCGCAAAAGCCTAATTTGGGTTTTGTACCGAAATTACTCAACTGTGAGCGCTCTAAGCAACTTTACAACTCACAGGCTATTTCGACTTTTTTGGTCTGCCACTGGTATATCTATTATGTAAGGACGTAAGTCTTCCATCGATAGAAAGGTCGTAAGTTCTTTCAAATCCATTGGATCTCTTTTTTTATGTTCGAATTGGGAGGAGCTTTCATGCGCTTATCGCGCGGAGTAAAATTATTTCCCGGCAGTGAAAGCAAATGAAGAAGAAATGCAAAATGGTCAACTAGAAATTGCGCAATTAGGCTTTACGACCTACTCTTTTTACAAATTTATTGTGACCAGATGTGCCTGCGAGAAGATGTGATTTTGGAGTTTATTCTCTCGAGTTCGTTAGAAGTGAATCTTATGTGTGAAAAGTTGCAAATTTTTTTCCACATTGAATTCTCGAAAAGTTTAGAAAGTGAAGACAAACAGACTTAACAAATCTCACTACAGAACTTCCTTTTCCACTCTATGTTTCCGGTTCGAGGAGATAACACTGAGGCTTACGAGCCTTCAAATTTGCCATGTTTCCGCTAATTTTGAGAACTGTCGTTTGAGGCTCTTACTCAGACGGTCACCTCCGGAGGGCAAATGGCGGGGGTCTGCCAGTTCGTGCTCCGGAGCCCTGCCATTTCACCCATTTTGGTGTGCTCGGGGGCTCCTCCAAATCTGGCGGGGGAGGGTCCCATACGCCTTCTTATGACGTCACCGTGCTCTCTGCTCCGGGGGTGCGCCAGATTTGGGGGAGCCCCGGAGCAGCAAAATGGGTGAAATGGCAGGGCTCCGCAGCACGAGTGGCAAAACCCGCTGGGCAGAGCCCGAGACCTTCCCATTTTCGCTCCGGAGGTAAGAATCTTCTAAACTGATGCTCTACCCTGACGTTTGAGCCTTTTTCTTTTGCGAACGTCGAGTTGATAACTCGCTTTTCTACAGGCATAAGTGAGGTTTCCCCAAGAAAATGCTTACAAAGCAGATTTTTGAGAAAGTTTCGGAAGGTTGTGAAATGAAGGCACTTCCCAAAAACTTCCTCTCGCTGGAAAGTTTGGTCTCCATCAATGTGACTCACTCACTCACACGCTTCACTTTCAACAGAAAAAAACAGATTTTACTCAAGTGACCGCTTTAGGAATAGATATTTTCTATTGATTTTGGGAATATTCCAAGTCGCACCCGTAGTGATTTTTGCGAAAATTCGGGTTCGCCACCGAGATGACGAGACCTTGTTACTTCATGCTTTCCTTTACACAAGAAAATTTTTTTCGGTGAATGCTCTCAAATCAGTTGTGGATATTGCTTGTAAGCGGTACTCCAAGACTGTTAACAACTTCTCTATTGACGGCTAACGTTTCGGCGACGATGCTTTGTGTTATCTTTCTCTCGAAGAGTACTCTCCAAGTTAGCCAAAGCGTTTGATTTCCTTGAGTGGCTCGACTCCACCAGCGAGACCCGTACCCAAGCGTTTAAGTTTCCCCAAGTAAAGACTCATCTCCACCAGCAAGACCCGGTCACTCAAGCGTGGGCTTCCCCATGTGGAAGCCCATTTCCACCAGCGAGACCAAGTTACCCAAAGCGTTTGATTTCCTTAAGTGAAGGCTCATCTCCACCAGCGAGACCCATACCCAGAGCCTTTGATTGTCCCAAGTAAAGGCTTTTCCCCATAAGGCACATCTCCACCAGCGAGGCTCAGTTATTGAAGCGTTGGATTTTTCCAAGTAAACTTGGAGAAATGCCAAGGCCCAGTTACCCAACAGCTTTTCTCCACCAGCGAGACTCAGTTATTCCAGCGTCGGATCTCCCCAAGTGGAAGCTCATCCCCACCAGCGAGACCCTTACCCAGAGCCTTTGGTTTTCCCATAACGCTCATCTCCACCAGCGAGGCCCAGTTACCCAAAGCGTTGGATTTCCCCAAAAACGCTTTCCTCTTCCAGTCCAGTTATTCCAGCGTCGGACCTACTTAAGTGGAAGCTCATCTCCACCTGCGAAACCCGGTTACTCAAGCGTTGGACTTCCCCAAGTAACGCTTTTCTTTACCAACCCAGTTATCCAGCGTCGGATCTTCCCAAGTGAAAGCTCATCTCCACCAGCGAGACGGACTACCCAAAGTGTTGGATTTTTCCAAATAAACGCGCTTTTCTCCACCAACGAGACCCAGTCACTCAAACGTGGGCTTCCCCCAGCGAAACCCAATTACCCGATCGCTTTCCTTTCTACGAAACAGGAGTATGTTCCCAGATAAACAATCATCTCCACTAGCAAGATGCAGCCACTCGAGCACTTTCATTTTTAGAAGCGAAAGCAAGACTAACTTAAGGTGATAGCTTGCCTGGCGACACCCAACGACACGCATGTCGACCTTTCTACAAGTCAAAAAGAAATTTCAAAATAAACACCATCAGATAACATTTTTGATCAAAATATCCAAACATTATCTGCGGTGCATGGTTATTTAAATGACCTTTCTTCTGAGGCGTCGCTTCTAACAGCAAAAGCTTTCAGCTTTTCGATTTACAAAAGAACTTAGATTTTCTAAAACTTGAAAAAGCATTGAAAATTCCCATCAAATCCGCTTTTTCTCTCAGACATGCTCCCGAAATGTCAAATTTTTGCCCTATCATACTATATGAGACCCAGTCAATCTGCGCAATCTACCCTTTGTATAAGCAGAGAAAAACAAAAGAAAAAAAAACGATAAATAAACGTATACACATTCAAAGGCAGAATTTACGTCTGATAACATAAACTGAAAGGTTGAAACATCATTACCACCTTCAAGCAAAAGATTTTAGTAGATAGAACTCACCTAAGGCGATGCGGCAACAACCTTGCACAATGAGAATTTTGGTAAATGGCGATTGTAATATATTGAACCTCGACCAGGGGAAACATTTGCCTCGTTATTTTATGTATGTTGCTCAAAATCGCATATTTAATCATGTGAGTTAAGCGAAAACATTTTGAGACTGTTGATGTGCCACACATTGGTATGTTTACAGTCTGATTTGTGGAATTTGTCCTTAGGCGACACCTATGCGCGAAAAAAAAATTCGAGACAGTTCGGTACAAAGAAAACATGTCTCGTATTGACATACACAAGAGGCGTGTCGGCATCTCGCCGGGCACCTCCTTACCATCTGCTATCGTTTAGGGAAAGTGCACGAATTCATGCTTTTGCTATACGTAGTGATATTGTTCTATCACAATACAACATGATGTGGTAATCACTTAAATCAACATTCGACGCAAAGTCTTCTCCTCCTTCCTAGCTATTTTTTCTTTATGGTACATGCGAACTTTGCAGAAAAATGGCCGAATTTCTCAAGTGCGCACTGCAGTACCCTGAGTATTAAAACTTACATGTTTTGAAGCGAGAGTCGTCCATTTACTTTATAAAATTACTGGTGGTAAAACTCAAGTTTTGAACCTCAATATTCTAGAGCTGCAGTAATTGGTGCAATTAGGTGTTATGCGGTTTTTTGAAATACTTCGAAAAGCTACTCAGCAAAACTCTGAGAAAAAATCACAGAAAGACTAAGGGCCGCATGCAATAACATTTCCGCTGGGGAGGGGACCGCAGCTTCAGATTAAAGCTTCATATCCTGAAGCTTCGGATATCTGGATTTCACGCTGTCTACCTGTCCGTAAGTACTCCCACCATCCTTCACTATGAACATATTGAGCAGAAGCAAGAAGCTGTACAAGCCGCATTTTCCAGCTTTTTGTAGGATCCCCTGATGATTCCTAAGGGACGAACATCTATTCTTCAAAATTACTTTTCTTTCTCCGAAGTTAACGAAAACCTTCCAAAGTTATACTGAACATCTAACACAACAGTGCTAAGCATGTTGCTGATGAGAACAAATGAATTTTTGAAAAATCGAATTTTTTGGTATACCTCAAATTTCGACCTGTGGATAATCGAAAATTTCATGACTTCAAAATATCATTTGTTCTTATGCTTACATGCTTAGCACTGTTGGGTTAGATAATCTGCACAACTTTGGAGGTTCTTCGTTAACTTCGGAGAAAGAAAAATGACTTTAAAGAAAAGCGCAGGGGATCATCAGGGATCATACAAAAGCTGGAAAATGCGGTTCGTACAGCTTTTCACTCCTGTTCAACATGTTCATAGTGAAGGATAGTAGGAATACTTACGGACACGTAAACAGCGTGAAATGCAGATATCTGGAGTTTCGAAATATGTAGCTTTCTTTTAAGCTGCGATCCCCTCCCCGCGGCCATGTTAGTGCATGCGGCCCTAAGAATGTTACATTGTTAGGAAAGGTTTTTGCTTCATTTGGTGTGCATCAAAGGTTTCTCAGAAAATTAAGCAAAAATTTCGGAAATTATAAAATATCAACATGGTAAAGATGAAGCGTCGCAAGTTTCGGCTATCGAAAGTTCGCATCGGGAACATAGCCGCTGAAAAGAAGAGAAGATTCTGCATCGGATGTTTGTAAGAGTATTTTTTTATCGGGTTTGCGGGTGGGACCAAAAAGGAAAAAACTGGCGCATATCACTAACTTATGCCTTCCAAAACTAATGACACATTTTCAAGTTCCTTTCCCGGCCCATCAAACACTCATCCTGGTCCTCCTACCCTTTGGTTCAACTAGCTTGCCGGCTGGAAGGCGGGGCTTCGTGAGTTGAATAAGCCTAGATATCAGTGAGCACGCGCGCGCGAAAGATGCAGACTGCGTCGTAGGCACGAGCTGCCTTAATTAGGTCACAAAGCCCCGCCTTCCAGCCGCCAAGCCAGTTGATTCAAAGGTTACATGGTAATCAAGCTACTCTCAAGTATATTAACAATTAGGTGCGAGATGAATTATCGAACAAATGGTATCTGCTTTCCGCTAAAGTGATGGCTGCGGCAAATATGAGCTTACAAAAATACCTTTGTTTAAGCAATCAACAACTCATTACATCCTAACTCATAAGAAAGAAGCAAATCAATATAATTTTTATTTCAATTCAATATAGGTATGTATCTGATGTCAGGTGCACTGCTTAATATGTTCTACACAACGCAGCAGCCATTGGTCGCAACGTGATATGAAATGAAAAACGCGAGGAAAGAATGAATGATGAAGGATAAGATACCTTGGATAACGATGAGTAAGTGAAATAGCATGATCTATGAAGAGGAGAGAAACATGCAAAATTATAGAAGATAAGGAAGAAAGGATAAAACAGATAAAACATACAAAGATGAACTGTGAATTTGCTGGGCAACAACTTCAGTGGCGAAAAACCCGGTTGTTTGTGTTAGCGATGTGCATAATGGTGACAAGAATGGAAAGAAAAAAAAAGAAAAAATGATTAATTACAAGATGAGGAATGATCAGGCGTGTGAACGTAACGACGGTCGACGATATGATTCTTCGTCGATGAATTAAAGGGGGGGGGGCTACATTTGGATGTGCATTCCTTGGGTGATCACTCGTGTTCGACTCTCTTTCTCTAACATTTTGCGCTCTCGTTCTATCCGATTCTTTATCATCTTCACCTTCTTTTTGATCAACGAACGATCAGAATGATTTTGGATGCCCATTGCCTAAAATAACAATTTTTTGAATAATTCCAACCATTTATATCTTCCCCTACCTTCAATTTTGTTCCATCCAAATCCAAAAATTTCGCTCCGTTGATCTTGTTAATGGTGAATTCGGGAACGTATTTATCAAGACCCATTGAAACCAACAGTTGACACACATCATCTATTGTCCAATGTAACACTTGAAGACCCTGGATCTGTTCACAAGATGCTCTCCAGAACTCGTTCTCGTCTGGAAAAGAAAATCTTTAAGAATAGCAGGCTTGAGGATGGAGAGGGTTGCAAATACAGGGGAAAAAGAAGAAAAAGAAGAACAGGTTCTAGGAAATTCTGTTAGAAAATTTCTTGCGGGATGTGTAAATACTTCTTTTATGTCTCCTCGAAGTAGTTATGATACCGAAAAACTAGGTACCCTCTTGAGATGTAGGAGAATCCCCCTCCAACTCCCCCTCTCGCGTAATGGGTAGCGAATTTTTTTATGATGGTCTACATAAGTATAATAATGTATGATCAAGTTGTTCTTAGCAACAAACAGCCGAAACGATTCGATTCAAAAAATTTCAGAAAAATTTTTCGAAGGCGTTGAAATGCTTCCAAAATTATATTTAATTGAATTTTCCCGCATTCCGACTCAAAAAAACGACAACTACGGAGTAGCGATAGGGATTAAAGGAGAAAGAGCTGTATGAAAAGTGGCCATTGGAATATTTTTGTGGAAGAAAACCCGAATTCTGGATTTTTGTTTTTTTCATTAATTTACTATGATATGTTCTTGCTGTATTGCTGATTCCGTTTCTTACTTCCTATTTATGGCGCGCCTAGAGTGCATCGAACGAAAAGCTAAACAAAAAATCCAGTAGTGACTGAAAAGGTAAAAGACAAGCTTTCAGACAAGCTCTCCTCGGCTTTCGTAGCCTTCTTCAAAGGTGACGGATGTGAAAAGGAGGGGGGAGGGGAATGTCATAGAATCAGTGAGATACAAAACTTACTGGTTGGGTATTTTTTCTTCAGTGGGAATAACAGCCGTCGATGAACAAATTTATGTGGAAGAGCAGGGCTAGCTGGCTCAGATATCCGTGGAACTGGACTACCACAAGATGATGAGTACTTGTCATCGTCCCAAGTGGATACTTCAGCATCTTTTCGAGTCTAAAAAATTACATTATTTTCCAAGTTTAAATTCTCAAAAAGGATTCCTAACCGGAACATTGTTATTAATGGTAGTTTTTGGCTCTTTTGCATCCATATTAGCCATTACAGCTTTATCTTCATGAGGAAGTTCGCCGCCGGGTTTATATGCCAAACCCTCATCGCGCTTCTCCAGCTTGTCCTGAAATAGCTGCTAAGGAGTATTTCAGCCTAAATAATGTTGATAACATGCTTCGAATGTAATGCCGTGGGAAAAAGTGTCTACATTAACCTAATGCACAGACACACACTGTCAACAATGGAAGGCTATGCAAACATTTGAAAAACAAGATCAAAAAAGAGCAAATATGCCTTTGCTGAAATTTTGCTAATTTTGCAAAATATTCATGGTGTTGCTCATATAGAAAACTTCAAAAACCAGAAAAATCGATCATATTAAACTGCTTTTATGGTACTCCAGAGCTTTTGAGATAAGAAATCAAAAGGACTTAAATTTTATTTATTGCCATGGTCAAAACAAGTGGCAAAGCTACCGAGAAATTATTTCGGAAAAGAATCTGATTTGCAAGATTCTAAAGATTTTCATAACAAATGCGAAGTGAAAGATGTGCTACTGCAAACTAAATTCAAGCTAAAGAGATTCAAGGTTTGAAAAAAATTTCTTTATCAAAAAATTCATGATAGAATCAAATAAACTGATATAAAGCTAATATAGTAAAGCCAGAGTTGCTAATGGCTCCGTCTCAATGGTCCGCTGATTTTTCAATATGCTAAAACATATGTGAAAAGTAACAATTGTCATTTGTCTTCCTTGTTTAGTCAAAAATGTTTGTTGCCCTTCCAAAAATATATTGATGGAAGTATTAACTGTCTCACTTTCAATTTATCCCTGAGTTCGGTGAGTTCGTTATTGGCTATAGATTGCCGTCGTTCGTCCATCTCTTCAAGTTTCGCCTCCAATTCTTCAATTCGTTCCTGAAACTGTGCTTTTTTCATGAAAATTTTTGAAATGAGGTGCTGCGCTCACCTTCAGCTGAGCCACAAGATGAGAATAATGAGCATCCTTATCTCTTAACTGCTCCACATGATTTTCCTCTCGGGATAAGAGCTCTTTTTCTCTAAAAAAGGGGAAAATTTTTGAAAAAAGGATACCATGGAGCTACTAGGACTCACCTTTCTTGATAATTTCTCAGAAGCTGATTAGCCTGATCATATTTCTTCTCAAGCTGATCATAATGCGATTTTGTGCTATCTAATACTTCATGCATTTGATCGGCTTTCTTCTGTGACATTTCCAATTCCAACTCTAATGCTGCTATCTTTGCCTGAAAAACGTGGATCAAAAAACTTGGAAAGGAGCCAAATCAAATCCAAGTTTACCCTAATCTCAGCTTCATCCATGCTTCGCGAAGTTGGAGGTTCACTTTCTTCAGGTTGACTTTCTTCTCCGTCTTCGTTGACGATTCGTGCTCGGTCAGCTTCTAGGGACTGTCTAATCAGCTGAGCTACTTCGGATTCTTCAAGGTTTGGTTCACGTCCTGGAAGGGGGAGATATTTGTGATCCAACGTGCAAATGTAGGAGATGTACTCAGCACAAGGTAGAGGACAATTTGAACTCTTCTCGAACCTTTTATGGGCTATAACAAATCGCTGAAAAAGCAAAAGGGGTTAAGTGACAGACATGGAAAACAATTTTTGCAAAAAAAAACTTCGAAATTGTTTGCTTAGTTTTATTCAAAGTTCAAGGCTCAAACTTATGTATTTTGCTACATTTAATATTCATAAATATTCTTTTCACTGACCAGCATGATTACATTATGAAGTATAAACTCTCATCAACATTATCACACTATAAACTATAAACTCTTGAATCTATTAGCAAGTTAGTGAGACAGATGAGCGCTGATAAATATCAAAATACTAGCATTATGAGAGGGAAGAACAAATTTTCAAAAACGTTTTTTCCACCCCGTTCCTTGAAAGCGAGAAAAATATGTAAGCCTGCATTATTTCATTTGTTTTCTGATCATGAATGTCATTAATGAAATAATAATGTCATTATAAATACTCTAACAAAGCAGCGGCTTTCAAGATAATTTACAACTCAAAAATGGATTTTTACACATATTGAAAGTTTTGCCTGCGAGGTTGTACTGCTAAATACAGCTATTAGAGTTTCCCGAATTTTCATCATATTTGATTTTCTCTTTGATTCTCGCTTGCCTTGTGTAGGGTACCAAGAAGGGTCTAGGGATTTTGTCGCAAACCCCGTATAAATAAGGAGCAAAACGAGAATGTGAATTTCGCAAGCTCTTAACTGTACTTCCTAACTTTCTATATTTTTTGAAGAAAATGGAACAAGAAATTTGCAGACCTACCAATAGTGAAAAGTACTCGATTCGAAGTGGCTCGAAGCGTTTCAGCCGCGTAAAGTTGACTGACTCCGACGAGGCTTTTGCCATCAACGGACACAATCTGATCGCAAACTCGTACCCGTCCGTCTCTGGAATTGTTACTCAGTTAATGGCATTGACGAGCACGACGTCGTGGTATTGACTGGACCCCATTTGGGAAGACTAGGCGTAAAGTGGGCTTCCAAAGGGTGGCAGAATTACCTGTGTACAGCTCCTCCAGGAGTAATATTCTTCACAAAGATTCCTAACTTTTCCAGTCCCGAATCGGCTCCGACTCCCATTCCTAAACAAGATTTCGGATTCCCATTTCGTCTAATCGTAAAGTCATAAGATTGAGGAGAGCGTATCAAACAGCGAAAATTTATGTCGCTCACCGATAATGGACACGCCAAGACCCTCGGGACCTTTTTCGAGCATTACGTCGAACAATTCCATACGTTCTAATCGCCTTTCAAGTTCATATTCGGCACAACTTGCAACCGGATCGATATCCTCATTTTTACGATCATATTCTTCTACGGAATGAGTACAATATACCTGAAAAGAAAAGAATTCTTAGCTTACGAAACACAAATCATTTTTACAGCTCAAAGGCCAATCAACATGGACATTACAATATCACAGACGCACATTTTCAAATGGAAGGAATTTCAAGAATTCTTGGGCATAATTTTCGAATCTTCTATGAAATGAAGAATTATTCGATGTGTTTAAATGCTTTTCAAGCATGACAAATCTTTGAATTATCGTGCCAATTAATACCTCAAGAAACAATCTTTTTTTGAAACGTGGATGAGATAAAGTAAGGATACGCTCTTCACAAAAAATTTAAAATAAAAAGAAAACGAAAATACTCCATAAACTGAAACCACTGCTAACTAAAATCTCGTGGTTTCCAAACCACTGGTTTCTACGAAACGGGAACAGAAAGAAAAGGCTTCCAACTTACATTTTCTACTAACATCAGAGAAGAACTGCAAATTTTACACATTATGAAGTCAAGAAACGGAGTAGATGCCAGAAAAAAATCTGAGCAAAAATTTACGCACAAAAATTGATCAAGTTGTTTGGAAATTGAGATAAGAAAGAAAGACGGTAATCGCGTAAGTCACGAGAATGAACTCCACTAGCAAGAGAGTTCGCAATAAAAGCTGAGACCATACGAGAATGTTAAAATACTTTTGAAATAAAGCACATTTTGAAAATCTAGTCAACTAACGCTCATTATTCTGCTTCCCCAACTCTCTTCCTTGGAGGAAACCGTAATTTCCAGGAGTCCCTTGTTTTAAAATAACACAAGAATCTTACGACTACTCCGGGAAAGCTAAATCTTTTTCACAACCGATTGTTCTTCGCGCACCCGAATTATACTTTTTTCTTATCATAATCATAGAGGAGCTCTTGAAGAGTCAGTGCAAGAATTGAAGGGTTCATCGCGGAGGGAAAAAGAGTTTTGGCCCAAAACTGTACAGAATAAATGGCATATTAAGAGGTCAAAGAGGAAACAAAGGATTACAGTCGTAGTGGGTTTGAAAAATGGATACAAAATTTATGCGCGACTCGAAAGTTCAAATCTTACTTGAAAAGCTGAGAATTTCGAGAAAATTCATGACAAAATTTACTAAGATAACAAAGGCATTTAATGTAGAAATAGGATATATCAGATTTGTCAAATTATGTCATTGAAAAAACGTGTTTTCTCGGAAACTGACAATATGATCTGTAAAAATGAATGAAAATGAACGATCTAAAAATTAATCAAAAATGATAATTGATTTTTCTAAAATTGTGAAATATAGACACTTAGGCTCACTGGTAAATTCATTCTTCATCAGTGTGTAAATGGATGCTCCAGAATTTTTTCGTATAAGAAAAGCCAAACGGTAAGGAAAAATCACTACATGCAACTGATAATTATCGTCTCGTTTTTATTCGGAAAAGAACCCTATAAGGGATGATTTTGCTAAATTTGCAAATAGTGTAAATAACCTTTCGGTTTATACAATCTCTCAACAGTCAAATATTTGCCCGGGATTTACAAAGAATTTTATGATACCAAATCACGAGTTTTTCACAACTTTACCATTTCTGCCCCTCCAAAAATTCTCGACATTCCTCCCATTCGCGACGGGGTATTAGTGAAAGCAAATAGAGAGAAGAGTTAGACTAACAGGTATCGGTGCTGTGCTGAAGGAGACCTTTCTGTCGCGGTCGAGGTCACGTTCGGGACTGAGACCACGTCGAGTTTCGAGCACTCCGTCGATTCGTTCATCATCCGACGATGCGCCTCTTGACGACACGGTTCGACCGTCTTCATCGTCAGCGTCGCGTCGGGTTTTCACCAGAGCATACGTCGTATGTCGCATTGCTTGTGCATCTGCGTCTAATATGCCATTCTCGTCGCGATCATCACCGAATCTGGAATAAAAAAATTTTCAGAAATCTTCTGGGGAGAGGGGGAAAGGGGGTAAAACATGTGAAGTGCACTTGATGCTTGTGATTTGACGATGCAACGCAAAGTGATGGGGTTTTTCTGGATGTAGCGAACAACTGACACAAATTCCATAATCTTCAAAAACACTCGAGAATTTCTCGCGTCTCGAATATGATTTGGGGAAAAACAAGCATCGGGAAGAAAATCGACTGAGGTAACTGGGGGAAAGTGCAACTCTATGCTGCTGTTTTTGTCGAAAAAGTTTTTTTTTCATGGGAAAAACAAGGACATGGTCGTGACAATGAGAAATTCCCGCCAACTTTTTTGTGATGATAATGCCTTGGAAACATTCTTGCGGGAATGAAAAATCGCACAGAATGTGAAATTCCCTTCATGAGACTACAATTCCGAAAAAATTCGTTTCATGCAAAGAAATTTGAAAAACTTGGTACTAACAGATATTCATAGGAAACGGTAAGAAAATAAGCTATCATATTTTCAGTGAATTCGTACCACTTAAAATAAACAATTTAAGAAATGCAAATTTGGTGCTGGCTCTAGCCATAAACCCAGTTTTTGCCGCCATGGTATAATGGCCAGAGCGAGTACGAATGCTATAGTCACACATTCTAACACATGATTGGCAATTTTTCAAACGAGCTCGACAAAAAATCGGCGAAAAAACTGAGAAAATTTATTGCCCCTAAAATGGCACATAAATCTTGGCATTGGGCCAAAACTACTTAAAAAGTATTATGTTGAGGCAAGATTTGCATGAAAGTGGAATATTTGCACGACGCTTTTCTATTCTTTGAATTATTTTTCAGCTTACTTCTATGTAAAATTCAAGGCCTTGCGAAGGCAGAATTTAAAAAAAAGATCCAAAGTGTGTAGCATTTGCGAAGAATTTCATGATTCCTCTGGTAAAAGTCAAAATATAGTCATTGTTTGAATAACCTTTCACAGAAGGGCAACCCGGACGAGAATTAATGTTTGAAGAAATGAGAAAATGACAAAATTTGTATCATTCTCTGAGCCTGGGGTACGAATTTCAATTCTGGGTCATTCTCAGCAAGCGAAAGTTGAAAGAAATTAAATAGGGACATGCTATTTTGTATACAGTCATAAAGATGCTTAGGACCATAAAACTATTGAATAAAGTTGGAAACTGGACAGAAAATTAAAATTGTCTAGCATTTTAGCAGAAAAACATAATCGACATTTCGAGCAATAATGTATACAGAATAAAAAACGAAAGCTCTATTTACTTATCTGCGCAGTTTTTCATGAAGATTTCTTATTATGGAGCTAAAATTTGCAAATAAAAAAATACAAAACAAGCTCATCCCACCAAAATAAACAAGAAAAATTGGACTCACAAAATCTTTTGAACCTGGCGATTAAGCCCATAGCAGAAAAGAGCAATCTTGCATGCAATAGAATTTTGAAAATATTTTAAACCACAATTCACTTAGTAGATTGAAAAAAAGAATTATTCAACGAAAAATTTTAACGTATAGCAGCGAGGGGAACGCTGGCACACGATGGCTGCCATAAGGCGCTCGTGCGTGCCTCGAGCGTGGTCTTGGAGGCACGCCTATTCGATTTTTTTAAACTCGATTTCTTGGCCCCGACATCCGCCCGCATTCGAATGTGCAAAATCGAACTAACATCTTTTTTCATCACCCTTTCGAGTACATCAACAAAGAACAACACAGAGAGCGGCAGCAGCCATGGCAGCAGCTGTAGCGGGTGATGAGTGTGTTAGCGAATGCATAGGCGGTGTTAAACGGGGGTGCTAGTGGAACATACATGCAGAACTGGAGATTAGCTTATTAAAGGTGAGGATTACGGTAGTTGGTGTAGTCAGGAGTACTGTACCGACCGTCTTCTGTAGAAGGATGGATCACGCCAGTAGGGTTCGTAGTTGGTTCGTTGTCGAAGGGCTTCGTTGTAGTTCGATGCTGGTGGCGGTGACGGCTCATATTGGGGCCTTTGCTGGTCGTAGGTTGGTCTTTGCTGATTCACCGGCATACTCCTTGTGAATCTAAAATTGCACGCCATGCGCTCGAGAACTCGTACACACTCTCTCGCTCGCTCGCTTAGAAGAGATGTCAGAAAAAATTAGAAAAAAAAAATCATGCAAACAACTTTGGAGAGCATCGAACGCTTCTGCCACTGGAGCAGAAGTGCATAAGTAGAAGTACAAATAACTCCGCAGCTTTCGTCAGACGACGAGGGGGGGGAGTGATTGACCCACTCCCCCCCCCCCCCCCCCTCCGCCCTTACTACTATTGCCCGAACGAGTAATGCTCAGTGAGGCTAAACATGCGTAACGAAGCCGCTGCTGATATGCCACCCACCCATCCCCCGTCCTAATTCCATTTCTCATTGGCAGCGGCGTCTTCTTTTCAATAAACTTAACGAATTTAACGACAGAAAGCAACCGATGGGGTGTGTTAGCAACAAAAATATTCGCAATACACTTCATGCTAAGCAAATTGGAGAGATTTCGGACGTGGAAAAACACTCACTTTAAGGATTCTTGAGCACCACGCGGTGAACCGCGATTCAGCAATTCGAGGTCGGAAGCCAGCTCTGAGAAATTTCGGGCAACCTGGAAAATAAATTGTTAGAGGAAAAGCATACAGGAAAAACTGACATATGAAAATGACAAACGTATGCAATGAATATTTCAAGAAAAGTCATGGGAAAAGCACACCAGAAGCAAAAAAAAAGATTGCAGTGGTTACTGTAGGATTACTACTAAAGAGTATTACTACTAGCCTACTAAAGAAGTAAAAGATCATAAATGGAGATCGAGTTTGAACGAATTTCGCATGATTATTGCAGGCAAATGGAGCTTTTACTAATACAAACGAAAATCTATTTATTTAATTACATACAAAAGTGCACCAAACTGAAACCAGTCAAATCCGAAAATATAAGTCAGAAAATTAAAATTAATATCCGAAAATTTATCTAAATAGCCTGAAAAACTTTACATTTATCATTCTACTAATTGTAGCTGGAATATTTTGAAATCCTAAACTCCAAATATTGAAAAAAATCGCAAATCAACAAGTAAAAAACAATATCAAATATCTTCATTTTGGTATTTCTAAAAACTGAAAAAATGAAAAAATCTATTTATAGTTGAAATTTGATGTTACAACATACCAACAACTGCAAACCAGCAGCTGACTACATAACGAGCAAAATCCAGTCGATACACGCAATTCTCTTTTTTTAGCCCCCCATGAAATCCACAATCGATACGAATTTTCAGCAAAATTTCTATAGAGAATATAGATGGTAGAGTGAATCGAAAAATAGGTATGAAACAGGACATTACTGAATTTTTGATTTTTGATTTTGCGCATTAGTTTAGCTACTTAATCATATGAAAACCAATGTGACATAATCAACAGTAGGCTTGACTTCTTTATGAGGATGAGCTTTTTGATGCTATGAAAGTAGATATAAGCTTTTTCATTTGTTTGTTAATTATAATTGAAAATAAGGCATACTAATGGAAACTGTGAATTCTATGAATAGAAATAAGATGTAGGGAATGAATATTTATTACCGTGTGAGCACCCCATGAAAACCGAATCCAGCTCCGGTATTTATTATGATCAAACGGAATTTGAGGAAGCATGGAAGATATGAAAAAGGAAAAAGAAAATAAATAAGACCACTTTGTCAAGAAAAAAAAAACTTCTGAAGAATGGAGAAGATCCTTGTTATGAGCATAGACCAAAAGAAGACAAAAGTTTTTTCCAGGAAGGAACACTTGTGATGCCTACTAATCACAAGTTTCGCATTACATCAAGTCCCCACAAAAAAAGCTTTTGAGTTTTTCTGCCCCCTCCTTTTCCCCTTTTAGGCTTTGTACATTCTTACAACTCTTGTAAACAGTTCCAAAACCGACAACGATGCCATTTGCCACATTTATGATTCAAAGCGGAAAAATATTTTTGAAGGCGGGTTCTCAAAGAAAGCAACATAGTGTTTATATACTTTTCAAGGATGTTATCAAATAGAATGTTGAGTTGTTGAGAGAAAGCACATGATAAAGGTTCATAAAGCCCTTCTTACTGTAAGAATGGTAGCTTCGACGAAAAACGCACATGGTTCCGAAGAGAGGTAGACTTGGTAGGCCAATTATTATACATACAGCAACGCAACACCAGTGGCGACAACCCCCCCCCCCTCTGTGAAGGGTGTTTGAAAATTCAAATTAGTCTTGTAATCCCGGACTGAAGTCCTAGGACCCCCTGAGTATAACAGCGATAGTCATATTTACATGACATACCACATAGAGATGCTATAGTTTCTAGAAGACTACGTCCAAATGTTTCCCTTCTACAGTATACCCACCGTACACCGAAGTGGGCTACGATGTTTACTAATTAATCTCAACGCGTCCAATTATTATTTGGGCGGTATGTAACTTGAAACGGTAGTTAATAAGAAAAAAACTTGTAGAGATGTCAGTCGTTGGTGGCCAATGTGCGTGAGAGCATAAATGAACACCATAATGACGCCTCGACCACAATGTTAGAGCAATAAATCAATTCAATGACTTCGATTTGGCAATAAATTGAAGAACTATGTATGGTGTCCAGACTTCCAAGTCCTTTGTGCTTATTCATATTGGAATAAGCATTCTACAAAAAAGATCATAAGAATGTTATACAAAAAAATTGCGGCAAAGTATTTTCAGTGAACTCCGGAAATCCTCGAAACACTTTGTAATCTAGGATTTTCCTAATTTAGTTCGAGCAGGAAACTGTGGCAACTGAGGCATTTTCTGATCAAATGAAAGCCATTTTAAGTCCTTGGAGTTCTATATACCCTTTGATACAACGGCATTGGCGGATGGGTGGGGCTTCGAGGCTCAATAAAGGCTAGAGATTGGTCAAAGAGCACGCTCGCGAGAGAGACGCAATATGCGGAGCGAGTGCGAGCGGTCGCCTTCCAGCTGCCAATCCCACTGAATCAAAGAGTACTGTGGTCGAAAAAATGACAAGATCTTTCAAATAAAAGAACAAAATATGTTGAAAGTGCGAGGAGGGAACAGAAATTTAAAAATGCACTTTAGTGAGTAATGGGCTGCTTATTTTTGCAAAAGTTTGTCAAATTAGGAATGCAAGAAAAGCTTGCGATAAGAAATCACCTTACCCGCCTCCCCTTTTCCAACCTTGGAATTTTCATTGGTGACGAAGCGATTGAAGATGTTACAATGCGCAGGAGGTAGACTTCATTTCCCACTTATTTCCTTCAACTCGGGTGAAAAAATTGGCGGGAAACTTAAAAGGCAAAAGGGTGAATTTCTTGCGAACCTCCTTTCCATTTGAGATACAAAATTCTATAGAATTTTCTTACGAAAAAGAGACCAAGGAACGTGTGAAAGAGCATCGACAGCGATTGATGCATTGAGATGCGCAAAATTTCAATGTCGGCGAGCGACTAGTCCGTCCGCCGACAACCTCATTCCCACTCATTGACTAGCGCATTTGTAAAAACAAAAAAGTCACTCGATAGGAGAACGGGGGGCCCCGCATATTGCGCGAGAGGTGCGAACGGGCGGCCGTCTAGTGGATTGTGACAGCTCAAGAAAATCTTGAGTGGTCCTGGGACCTCTTCAAGTGTCATTATTCCAAAACAACGTTAGAATTGATGTATAAAATAATTGATGTCTAGGTCTTCGTACCACGGCTAGACTGAATGTTAGGGGGGGGGGGAGGGGGAGAGCGGGTGAGCTGAAGGTGATTTGGATCCGTTACGAAATGAGGCAAAGGCTTCGCTTTGTTTTTTGAAACATGTTTTTTTTTGATTTGAAAAATTCAATTTAATCTTGTAAAAAATTTCGCAAAATTTTCATCAGCTGAGAATTGCAGAAATACTGTGAATCTTTGTCGCAGTCCTCCATTCAAAAATAGTTTGTCATCTATAGAATGAGTATTACAAAAAATTTCTATAAAATATTTCGAGGAAATTTTTTTGATTTGCAAAAACAATTCAATTCCGTAAAAAATATAGATCTTCAAGTGACGTACAAAATAGGTATCTTCGTCACATTCCCCTTCTAAAAAAATTCCTTCTACTTCCTTCCCCCCCCCCCCCCCCCTTTACCAGAAAGAACTTTGAGAGTCAATTCGAGGATTTGAGGAAAGCCGGGAAGGGAGGGAGGGAGGAAAGAAAGGAAGTGGAAGGTTAGGGAGTTGGAGGAGGGGAGAAGGGGGGGGGAGAGGGAGAGAGGAAAATCACTGTCAATCACGTGCCTACGCAGTTGTTATCCAATTGCGCCATCAGAGGAATTCATTGGATACGCTGGGAATTCTACCCCCCCCCCCCCCCCCCTCCCCCCGCTCTCGTCTCCTCCTCCGCAATTGGTGCTACGACATAAGCAAAAATCTGTTTTCCTCAAGGCACAAACTATCTTCGCTAAAAGGAATTTCTCCCCCGCCCACAAACTCAAGGTGACAAAAAATCAAGATTCTGTTAGTTTGACCTCAGAAAGATTATTCAAAAATGGCAAAATACATGCATTGAGGAAACGTTGATGATATGAAGGGCGTCAATATTTTCGACAAAACACATCTTGTTTACATTGGCACGGATCCAAGAGTGCACTTATAGATAGGAGCAAGGGCAGCTTTTGGGCCCTTCACCTTGGAGTTGACACATTGTGTTGCTGAGTACAGCGATTTTTATTTCTGGGAGAATATTTTTTTGCGCTCTTTTCAAAATTCTAGCGCTTTAGCCTGTAAAGTTCAATTCGCGCCTCATCCCGAATTTGCCTTAATTCTGATGGGTTAAGGTTATATAAAACAGGCAGGGTTATATAAAAAAGGTTATAAGGTCATATAAAAAATATTTAAAGTTTCTTCATCCTTTTTTCTTTCCGCAAACTGCAAAGTCGATGATAGCTGTGCATTCATGTAGCGGTATGAATTTTCTAACAAAAGCACATACTTTATTCTCAATGAGACGCAAATTCTTCAAGATTTAGTCCAAGGACCAATAAACCTAATTGTGAGGTAAAGAAATGGGAGAGGAGGAGGTGGAGGTGAATAGAGGTCGTTATAGGGTCAAGAGAGAGAGAACATGAGTAAAGTATGAGATTTCAAGTGATAAATATTCTTAGTGCCTCAAGTTATCCTTTGCATATGATATTTCAAGAGGATTAGTGAATAAATTATTTTAAGCGTTTTTTCTGCATTTAATGTAAAAATCACCAAGAAACGAAAATTTCGCGGAAAAATCAGCCGGAACCATAAAATCAGAACACAGATGTAGAACTATGATGTTAGGGTATTGCTTCTTGCAACATATAAAACACTTTGCTTTTCTAGACAGCTCTTTGTTTTTGGAAAGAGCCTGAATTAAGACCAAAATGTCCATAATTTGATGGTCTAGAAATATTTTGAGCCCATGGCTGCTCGATGCTTATAGCTATGAAATTACGTTTTTCTGCATTCATTGAATTTCATGTGGGTCTACGACTGGCTCATCTATGAAAGCTCGTTGAGATCATGTGAGGCAAACACTAGAGTAATGGTTGGGGAAGTTACGTCACAAAGAGGCAAATACAGAATAAAGCCCATTACGTCATTTTTTATTCCATGATGAGTCTAATTTCTCAGGTTTGACACCAGGGTCTCTGAGCGAAAAATAGTCTCATGCTCATCTAAAGTTCGAATTTTCTCATTTCAGCCAAACTTCCTTCTTAGGAAATTAACTAAATTAACTGATTAAAAAGAAACTAGGAAATTTAAATGTGGTTAAAGATTTCCTACTGCATTTTAATTATAAAAGCAACAAGTAAAAAATATTTCGATAGCAAAAGTTTTACTAAACTTCTAGCTCTTCTCCCCTAACTGGCTTAGGCGATGCTTGAAAATTATTGCGAAGCTTCACCTACGAAGAAACTGACAGACTCGGACTGCTGTAAATGTTAAGCCGCTAGAACTTGATATAATAGAAATACCGCAAATTTATGTGAAAAAATCTGGGTCGGACCAGTAAATTACAATCATCACTTCTATAAGGGGGGGGGGGCAGCCAACATGAACGATAGCTTGTGTCAGCCATATGCGTTATTTTACCTTTTTGGAGTTATAAGAGAAAAATTTTTATTGGAAGAAAAATTCCCGTAAGTCAAATATTTTCAAACTCTATATTCACGTATGATAATATTTAAAAATTTCAAAAAAAGACGCTGGGAGCTCGGTATGCCTTGAATCTTACTGTTAGACACTATTTTCAAAACATTGATAAACACATCGCTTCCAAAAAAGACTTTTTGCGGCATACTGGCAACCGCAGGAGTACAGTATTATTTCTAGCTTTCGTTCATCTTGGCATGCACCCCACTTACGGAGAAAAGTTCCAAATCCCAACTTAATAGATTTTTATTTTAGTCTACCAAACATGCAGACTGACTTCACAATTCTATTATGGTATTTTACGTTTTTTTTTCATTTCACCCATTTTCAAGCTACCAGTCAAGTTTGGTTGGTTCCATAACTCTTGATAACTTTGATTTATGGCTAGATATTTACTTACGCAGTAATGACTTTCCAAGTTTGATTGGGCTTTCCGGACGAGAGCGCGGACGCAAAAATTGAACAGAAAGGAGTTTCAGAGCTCAGTGGTTCTGGTTGGCGTAAAAATTACAATTTTTCAGTTGAAGACATCTCCAGATAGATAAAGAGTAGCAGTAATATAGTTCTAAAAGTTGCAGCACTCTTGGCGGAAGGAAACTAATGCTATGAGCTCTTTTGTAAACTGAGAAGTGCCTAGTTCCACTATGATGTTTCTGATGTTTTTATTAAGTGCCTGCTGCTTTGCTGACTCCTCTGTTGTTCCGACAAATGAATCACATTCCGAGACATTTTATGTCTCGTTGTAAAGAACAGCACGTCACAAAGTTTTTTTGTTAATAAAATTTATACGTTTGCAGCTGAGGGCGGTGGCTTTTACGACGTATGGGTGGTCGGCTTCAGCTTTGAAGAGCCATTTTGGCATCGAAAGATGACTGAAGCTTCACTACTTTTCGAAAAAAAGTCGAAATCGCCCCTTTTGATTTTATCGATACTCAAAATTATATTTTGTAAAAATCTGCTTGATTCCTCGAGTAATAAATGGTATAACTGCAGTAGATATCACAGCGATAACAATGTGGCCCTTTTGCACATATACAGTAATTTTTGGGCGAATAAAGATTACGACTTCCCGAATCGAAAAATATAGAAACATTTTCAAATCAAAGAACAGCATGCATTGTTTCCATGAAATGAGTTTCAAATTCCCTACTCAGACACTCACCGGGGCTTAGGCGGGACAAGCAAAATTTGCAGAGGTTCCGCAGGATTTTGTTCACTAATGCAAAAGTGGAAACGTTGAAAACGGAAACGTCCGCAGGACTTTTTACAAAGCGCTTTGGAACTTCCGAAAAATGCCAGCGGTTGCGCAGCACTCTGACATGCCAGTACTTCCGCAGGGTTTTAAATGTACCGTCTCGTATGAGTTTCTCACCCACAACTAGCGCATTATCAAAGATGTCAGCCGTACTGCCGAGGTTAGTAGATGAGTCTCACGGTCAATAGAGTAAGGTTCAAATCTAGGTATTCTCTTTCTATGTGGTTCGCGTTCTTCGGAACTTCCGCAGCACATTTACCTAACTTTCGCAGGTGACCCGGCCGAACTTTCCCAAACGTTCTGCGAAAGTTCCAGTCGGCTGTCTGAGTAGAAACCCTCAAACCCGAGGCTTGGAATTTTTATATAGCCAAATACCCACCTGAGATATGGGACTTCCTGGACATGGGACAGACGGTTTCGGTGGCAACGGTGGCGGTTGTCGTGTCGGTCGAGGCGAGTAGAACGAAGGCACCTGCTTCAGTGAAATATGAATAGGTAGAGAACTTGGGAAAAGGGGTTGTACCCACAAAAATATGTTTGGCCTTTTTGGGCCCATACACTGTAAAAAGACACCTGTAACAAAGAGACGACATGAAAATTAGGTGTCATTTGAACACTGAGGTTTTTCGGAGAAAAGAGAGACTGCTTTTTGCCTGCAGTATCACATTGCGAAAGCATTTCCCAAAGCATCCGGACTATAGGAAAAGTACTGTAATGGTACAAAAAGGGCCGGCTCAAAAAAAGCTACAGAGCATGGATGATTGTGAGACTATTCGTAGTATTATGATAAATTTATGAATGCGCAAAATTTGAGTCACAAGTGGAAAGATGAAGTGAGAGACCCCCAGCAAAATTTCGCTGAAAAATTTTTCTTACATCCTCTAAGCAATCGTGACTATGCATATAGCTTACCCTTCTCTCCCACCTACCACCAGCTTCAATATTCAACTGACAAAACATAGCGTGACCGATGCTCAAGTGGGCCGAAATTTTCTTTTTCATAACGTTTTCATCATCTCAACGATCTCCTTTGTTCGTGACTAGTACAGCCATATGGTGAGAAATAGCTTGTGCCTCTCCACGAAAAGAAAAATTTCTAAAAAATGCACTTGGGTTGTAGAAGTGCGTAAAAAACTTGCTTTTGCTAGCAGATAATAAAAAATTGTACTTTGCAGATTTTTGTGGAATACATAGATTGAGGCTCTTGAAAAATTTAGCTGCATGCTTCTCTTCATATCGATGTTCTCAGCTTGCAGAAGTTGATACAACGTAGCAAAATTTTTGGGAATCACAATCTTCATTCAGAAAAAGTTCGTCGCTCCCCCCTCCTGTAATTATCACTGTCCCCAGTATGTAAAGATGTACGATTCTATCTTTGGGTTGTTCTACGTAAATTTACGTGAAAGGTTCAAAAATAAGTAGGAATGGTTATCCAACAACTCCAACGATTTGCTTCAACTTTTCTATACATTGCAAAATGATGGTCGAAAATGCCTGTGATTATTAAAACTGTGATCGCAATCTTATTCCAGTTTTCTTCTGCAAAACCACACGCTAAATTTATTTTTTGTCTCGTTTGTAGCTCATCAAAAATTTTTCCTAATTCCCCAGATTTGCTTCTGCGCTCCCTTTCCCACAGCTCATGCACATTAGTAGCCTATTCTCACACAACCATTTTTATTCAACGTTTCGACTATAAAATCAATGCTTTCACCATTTGAAACACACATTTTTTGCGATGCTTTTGATAGAAGCAGCAGAGGTGTTATCGAGCCTAGAACCAGTTTCCTCTATGCTATGAATATTCGAAAACAATTCAACAAAAGACATGGCTGAGGCATCTCGGCAAACAAAACGCAGACGCGACAACGATGGTCACCATCAACACATCGTCGCTCGATACGACAACATTTTGACTATACAGTAAATGAATGTGCGCCTTCTAAAGTTATAATTTACGATACTGTCAGCGGAGATAAAAAACGAACTTTTTATGAAGCTCAAAAAATCAAAAATTCTCCTTTTACTGACGTTATATCTCAAGGTATTGTTCTACAAAAATTGCCGTAGAATCTCTTAAAAAATTTGTTTCCTTGCTACTTTTCTGCATATCTCGTTAGCTCGGGATACTGTAGTCATACTGTATTGAGGGAGAAGGGGAATAAAGCGCAGAGGTTCACCCGTACTCTGAAGCGTAGTTAAGTGTAATGAACAGAAGGCCAAATCTTCCTTTTATTGGGAAGACTTGTACCGGTGACCAGTGCATGTATTGAGCCAAAATACAATTATACTCAAAAAGAATCTTGCAAATTCGTAAGTTTGGCTACTAAGCATTTGAAACTTGAAGCAGGTCGTATATTTTAGAACAGACTGACGCAATCTCAGAAAAATTTGTTAAAATTTATGGTGCAAAAACGACGATCCGTTTCTTTAACCTCATTATAGTCTTATTATAACAACCGTTTTTCAGATGTACGTTCACGGTTCAGGTGTGAAATTTGTGCCTTACCGTGGTGTTACCGTAAACTCAACTGTGCTTCAAAAATCTCTATATACTCTGATTTCATAGTTACACAAAGAATTGCAGAAAAAGCTTAGAAAGTATAAGCTTATAGTTTTTTTTAATCAAAATTTCCGGATCCACTTATTGAAGTAAATCAAATCCGAAAGTTCAAGTTGATAAATATGCGCATGTTCCCACTCTGAGTAGATTTGTGTCCTCTACCGCAATTTTACAGATGACTTCAGGATTGAAAGAAATCTCTGTGACATTATAGTCTTGATGTCACCAGTACAAGAAAATTGGGAGGAAGTTTGGAAATGCTTCTCTACCGTAGTCCTACAGTAATCTCGAGATCTCTTCTTGAAGAAGTCTTTATAAAATCTGCAGCTATATTACAATCTTACAAAAAAGGTAAATCAAAGGTGTATGAAGTAGCCAGAGCATTTCCTTGAAGATTGATTCAATGCACATAATGGTTTCCATGCCTTCGCGGGATAATTCTCCCACATTTCTACAAAAATCACTTGAGAAAGTCAATTTTACGCGAAGATTTTTTGCCACCCCATTATCAAATGAGGGCCTAGTCATTTGCACACGGATTGCGAGATCTAATGAGAGGTGCGAATAGTGCGCTGACTAATTGCTCTCTACAATTTGTGGAGACAAGGGGGGAGGAGACGATTTTAGGAAGAGAGCTGTTGCAACAGTCTCCACCACCTCCACCACCTCAAGCACAGCCGGTCCCTCCTTTGCTTACCTCTTGCTGTCGTTCCAGCTGTTCAAACAGTGCCTTGGTGTGCGAAAAACGTGCTCGCGCATCCTCAGAAAACAGCTCTGAGGCTGTGGTCATCTGTAAAAAACAGGGGCTTGTTGAGGGATGCGAAAAAATGGCGGAAAATCTGAAAAAACCAACCTCAGACTACAGTACGAACCCGTGCAGCGATGCTCGAGAATATCAGACGCGGCTACTATGGCGGTGATATGTGAATGGCGGTGTGAGTCTCTCCTATCCCTATCTCTCTCCCGGCCCGAACTCTCCTTTTCCGTTCGTCAGTCAAGTCGAGTCGTCGTCGATGCTGTTCTGTTCGGTTCGGTCAGTCAGTGGCCATCGTCCACTGTTCGGCTATTGTGTCACCTCCACTTCGGGTGTACTCTCTCTCGGAGGCGGCGAATCTCTGCAAAGGACCCCTTAGTCACTCTATATCAGTCGCTGATCAACGTAGATATCAACCCGAAATTCGCGCGACGACATACGGGGGGGGGGGGCATAGAAGGACTGGACGGCAACATACATGCGATATGTGATATTGTACGAATCGGGGCCCCGCCGTTCAGCCAGCGCGTTCGCTCTCGATAGAATTCAGGTCAACCCGAGTGCGCATTGCCGACAGCTGGTCCAGGACGGGGCTCAGCCAATTTATGACATATGTATCACGGACGATTGGCCCCCAATACACAGGTGATTGAGAGATAAGAGTAAGCACGGGGGAATGAGGTGGTCACGTAGCCAGGGGAGTTCGTAAAACTATGATAAATGCCGACAATGCTTTGTAACAGGAAATGATTGGAAGAACTAAGTGTTGAGAAAATATTTGCAAGGACTGGATATTGAGAAACTGATTCTAGATTCAACTGCAAAGGAAGGATATTTAAATAATCATAGCTAGCAAAAAACATTTCAAAAATCAGCTTAGCTTGAACCTTGTTGAATTTTAGCTATAATTTCACAAGAATATAGGTAGAAAATGTCAAGAATGTAATACCTCTTTCAATTTTTTTCCATTTTATCCTGTGAGAGATACTGTACTATTTATTACTTTTGCAGAACAGAACTACATTTACTAAATAAGAGCACTATTCATAAGCCTTCAATTGAAAATTCTTGTTATAAGCAAATACAAAATTTTAGAGGTCTAAAATGAAAGCAGCGCGTACCTTTGACGGAAAAACCTCATATGATTTGAAAACGTTAAGAAAGGCAGAAATTAGCATAGTCATCAAGAAAGAATTCTATTCGAAAACATATGTGAAGACACAACATACATATAAAATTGAAAAGTTTGGAAAAGGCAAAAGCATTCGAAACTTGAACGAAACTTTCACTGGTATAAAGAAATTTGGTGAATAGCATAGAAGTAGAAAGAAGATGCTTCTAGCCTTTGAGCACGAATTTGAGTGATTACTACACTCAGACAAGACATGAAGTATTTCCTTTTTTATCCTCATTATTTCATAGCAAAAACTCTGCTACAACGCCATAAACTAGTACGAAAAATCCGAAGTCATTGATTTCAGCGAGATTTATTGCTATAGAAGTAAAAAGAGGATGACTCTAGCAGTGAGCAGTACAATAGTGATCGATGCTATGACATAGACTACTGCATGAGAAATCTGCTTCCAGGAGATTTCATTGGTTTTTGTCCCGCTCCAAAGTTCACATAGCCATTGTATGATTGCCCTCGGGATTGGTGTACGAAAGAAATGCTTGCACATTCAAACTAGTTCCACTATACATCCATTTCAAGCAGTTTATAGACCGCCTACACCTTACAATCTGACAAAAATTGTCGCAATGAAATTTGACTTGTTGGATTTTCTTGTAATATTTTTGGAACATGTTGGCTTCAGTTTGAAGTAGCATTCTCAATAATAAGGACATAATGTCCATTCCAAATAGTTTGACCAAATATTCATTTGGAAATTCTAAATTGAAAAGATGGCCTAAAGAGTCGAAGAGCAAAACGCTGAGCCGTTATCTCGCCCCAAACAGAAAATGATGAGAACCAAAAACATAAGAGGCAAAATTTTACTGCCCAAGAAACAAAAAGACAATGGTGAAACCATCATACATATACAATGAAGTAAAATAGTGCTAAGACTACTTTAACAAGCCCTCGTAAGGCCATAAACGATTTCGAGTAATTATCTTAAGAAGCTGTTGTTATCCAAAAACAATTAATTGGTTTTCACTCGAAACAAGTTATTCAAGACTTTAGCTTGATTGTCGTCCAAACTTCTTTCACTTTACATCGCTGTAGTCGCTAGTTCTGGGTCCAAAAAAGCAAAAGCAGGGTTAATAGTAATAATAGCAGTAATAGTAGTAATTCGCACCAAATTTCTGCAAGATCTACCCTTATTATATCTACATTTTGGAGTGTATTTACCATGTTAGTCATCATATCTGATACGTGCTCATCAAGGTAGTTTAGGAAAACCCTAGTACCCAGGTTTCTCCCTTAAAATTATGGAAAAGTTAAGAGATTGGTCGAAAGGTAGCTCACATATATATTGCGACGAGAGAATCAACTTCAGATGAACCAATTTCTATGACATGCATAGAAAACCGCTGTATGAACACCTATTAAGCCACAAGGAAGTTCAGGTACTCAGCTTTCCAGTTCGATCTTTCAAAGTCCAAAACGCTAAGCTAATTCTTTAAACGACAGAAAATGATGGAGCAGGAATAAGAGGTAAAATTTTCTAGAATAATTTTACTTATTTATTTTTATTTATTGGGGTGTCCCATAATAATTTGCCTTTTTACTCCAAACATCCGCATTTTTCTAGAACGGAGTCGCTACAAAAGGGTACAATTACATGACCGTGTTTCTGTGTGTATGAGCTATATGATTACGAACGTGAGAGCAGCTCAGGACGTCTATGGGCGGAGTTTGTCATTTTACTCCATTCACTTTTTCATTATTTCGTGACATGGAAAAAATGCGAAAAGTGTACAGCTGAATGAATGTGTCAAGCTTAAGCAAGAAAAAAATGGGGAATTTTTAAGATTTTGGAGGTACATTTACGGTAAAGTTCGCTTTTGACTGCTATTAAATTTCCGCTCAAAACTTTGCGAGGAATAAGATTTGATAGCCAGATAGCCTGATAGCCATTCTGTAGAGGTTGCTTTGCTTTGTCGAATGATCATTCAAGTCACATCAATTGAAGAAAAAATACAAAAAGGCGATGGTTGTAACAAAAACGTTAAAAATTATGGAACATCCTAATATATCCTAATTTCACGCGTACAAGGGGCGGGGGATATTTTTCTAAAATCCGCCAGCCCAAACACGCCACAACACTTCGCGACCAAAAAACCCTACACCGGGCTCCGTATTGCCTGAGAGAATTGAATGGTTCAAGGTTCGCTTTCCGAAACGAGTTATAGCGATTGAGCGGCTTGTTTGAAAAATCGAAAAAGGTGCGCCTTGTACGCGTGAAATTAGGGTAATAAATTTTTGGAAGTTTAGCCTCAATAAAAATTTAGATGAATCCATACAGCTATACAACTGTTCTCGAAGAATTCTAGAAGACGCAGAAAGTGATGAATAATGAAGGACTAGAGAACGTGAGGACACAATGTAGCACTGCCGCACCGACTATGAGTTTGTACATATTCCTGGGAAAGTTGCTATAAACTCAAATTTGAAACAACACTTTAAGGTGGAAGATCACAGCAGAAACTATACGCCGCATAGTTACATAGTTACCTATAAAAATTCTAATAATTTTGTTGGATGTGATAAAAAGCCCTCACGATCCAAACAGAGTGCATGAGTGGGTGGACGAGGGGGGTGGACTTGGAACAATATAACATAATTTTAGAATGCTCGCTATTGCACTTTACTACAATTTTGGAACCCCTGACGGGGAATCGCGTGGTAGGAAGGGAGCTCTAGGGCGGAGGTAATTTTAAATGGATCAAATCATTCGACAGAGGTTATTAAGATTAACTGTCATGGCATAATTACATTGAGATTTGAAAAAAAATCAAGAAACTTTCCAAGAGAACGTTTACGATTTAGCTATAGAATCATTATCTGAAAAAAAAATGAAAAATGCGTTTAGAGCGATAAAGAAAAATTCATGCTGCGATGCATGAATACCTAGGATGGGATGAAGTTCAACAGCGCTTGAATTCTATACAAGTCAATATGGATGTACGAAGAGAAGTGTGCGCGAAAAGTAGAAAAAAGTACGCAAAAGTACGACATTCAGCTGAGAAACGTGTTACGGGCGAAAAAGTAGCTTAGCGCTGACGTTGAGGAAAGCAACACCTCAAGGAGTGCATGCATTAGTGGGTTGCGGGGCGAAGTGGGGGGCTCGACTCTGTCACTTGTCGAAATTTCATGCATATAGTGTGAGACTGCGACTCAGCGCGTTGGGAACTGGTCGCGAAGTTGTCGCGAGGTACGGAGGATGACCACAGCGAGTCATTAGAGGACTTTGGACATGTTTCCGAGCAATCTAAAAGCAACTACTGGAAGCTGAGTGTGGCCGTGGTGAAGCGCACGAACAGGAAAGAAACCACCCAGTGTCAAAAGATGCCGAGCGGTTTTTTCCCAGAAAAGTGCAATGCGGAGATTATGAACACCGCTGGAGATATGATTAATGTAGGTAACGGGCAAGCGGGAAGAAAAAAATTAAAGAACTATTTTCATAGGACACCATTGAAGTACGAAGTTTCAGGCTTTCTCAGTACTAATACTATCACAGCATGAGTAAGGGAAGTAAAAATATCGTGACCTTTGACGTAGATCAAAATAGGTCAAAATAAGGAAAGTTCTAGGAAAAAAATTGTATCATTGATTAAACGTTAAGAAGAGGTCGTCGAAATAAATTCTTCAAAATTTGTGTGGGGAGCAAGAAGTTCAAATTTGAAATGCTCGGCTGGATGCAAATTTTTACAGAAATAGAAAAATTCATAACTAGATTTATTTTTCCATCTATTAAAGTAAAATGCTACCAGAAGAGACTGAAAAATTTACAAGAAAAAGCAGATATGAAACAAATAGAAATACGAATCAGTTGAAATGAAAAGGTGACGCACAGGCATACATACTGTTCCAGAAAATAGATGCGCAGATCAAAATTAGGTCAAAATTAAGGAAATTTCAGGGAACATACGCACTAAATCATTGATTAAACTTAGGAAATGAATTTTTTGGTAACTCAGAAACTTCACCTTCAGAATCAGATATAGGGGCTTGCACCTCTCGCATTTCAAAGATGATCTTGCCTTATGAACTTGGATAATCCTGAGGAAGATTTTGGAGAATATGTAGAAGTGAGAGAAGGAGATAGAGGGGCAAAGAGAAGGGTAGAATTTGCTGAATTGAGTTGCAAAAATGACAGAATTTAAAGTGACAACTTACATCCATCAAAGTTTACTTTGAAAAAAGTAAAGCATATAATATTAATCATGCTTCGTGCAGAGTTACATCTCAAACAGAATGTTACTTTTTTCAAATGCGCCTTGTGTCGCTCATCAATTAGAGAAAAACACAGTATGCTATGAAAACGAAGTTAGAACAGTACTTGAAACAAGTGTGATTGATTATAACGGATAATGTTATTTTTAAGGCTGGTTAAAATTTGCAAAGTGCTACATTATATGTTAGCTATGAAATGCACTTCTTTATGTAAACTTCGCAAACTGGTCGATTTTACTCTAAGTTCCATAAAAAGACAACAAATAACAATATTCAGGGCGTAACAATGACAAAATACTTTTTTTTTGCTGGACAGCTAAAAGGTAATTTACAAATCATCATAGTTGTTCCAATATTCAGATAAAAATAAGAAGTACTGCTGCCAAAATTCAGATCTGATGAAAAAAGGCATTTTTATTCTCATTAATTATGCAATCAGGATGTACAGTAACAATTAATATGCTAATTCTTATGTATGTATTTTTTATAAATGTATCTGACTTGCACATCTTCATTTCGTCAATCGCTTCAAGCCAAAAATAGAATAATCGAAAAACAGATGCTTTGCAAAATTTTATTGAATGATGCTCTCTGCTTAGCTAAACAGGAAAGACGCAAATACAAGTGGTCACTACAAATCCAGCAAAGGAACAAAAAAATCTTAAGCCTTCCAAGAGGTGCTCAAGCAAGAGATGGGCTTCCAGAAAACTTCCACAAAAATCCATGTTCACTATTTGAAAAAATTGTTACAGCAACGAAATTACTTACAAACTAAACTAAGTTACATGTGGCATAGAAAGCTAGCCAGATATGTTTTTTATATTATAATGGTGAGCAGATACTTTTTTGCCCTATTTAGAAAAATTAAGACTTATCGAGATTTTATTCATTAGTGAAATCTCAACATGCGCAAGCAACTATACAATACCACCCGTAATTTGCGAAAAAAAATGGCGGCGGCACTTAACTTACGCGGCGCCGCCGAAGTTAGGTGACTTTTGCCGCGTCGCGCGACAAAAGTCGGCGGAAAAGCGGCAAAAGTCACCTAACTTTGTCGCGCAACGCCTAACTTTTTATAAAAAAAGACCTTATCTTGATTCAAAATTTATGAATTCTATATATAAGAGTACCATTCAACTCAGCTCGGCGAGGCGCATCTTCCAATATACGGATGTGCCTAGTTGTGGGATATAAGTTTCTTTCCTGGAATTTTAGTGTAAATGGACCATTCAGTGTGCTTATTCCAGAGGCTACGTACACATTCTATTGAGCACAGCAGAAATAGGGCAGGTATAGTTTAAGAGCTCATTCTGCATGGATATGTGTGAAAGTGGGCAGCTCATTCTGCATGGATATGTGTGAAAGTGGGCTTCTCTCGGCGAAGTATGACGGGTCCCAAAATGCAGGAAGAAAAAGGGAAATGGTTGGAAATCGCATGAGAAGCACATATCGCGGAATGCCGCGCGTGCTGTGCAATGTACAATACCACTCACAGAACGGGAATTGCGCGAAATTCCAGAAATTTCGCGATTCCGGATTATCGTAAATTATGCAGCGCCATAACTTCCTTCGGAATTAATATATTCTAAATTCGAAAGCAGCACTGTGTTCATCTCGTCAAGGCGAATCTTTCTACATACGTCATGTCATCTATATCTTGTTTTCAGTTTTCTCAAATTGTTCTGAGGAGGTCCCTTTGCAAGTATGTAACGCAGCGCCTATCCAACTTGAAAGCTTCCAGTATGCACCATTCGATAGTGCTCTTCTTGTGCATTATAGTGCGCTAGTAAGCTGCCGCAGGCTTCTTTTCAAAAGAGAAAAAAGCGTTGGTAAATTCTGGAAAAATCACTCGTTTCCAGATTCTACTCGCCGTAACTTTCTTTGGAGTGGATATTTTCTAAATCCGAAAAATGCATTGTGCTCAGCTCATCAAGGCAAATCTTTCGGTATGCGGAATGTCCTTGATA